ATGGGATACTTTCGGGAAATAGACTGATTAGGCTCGTTGCCTTGTTGACTAATCTCCACAACTCAGGAGAAATTGTTTGGTTTGGACTTTGGGTTGGAAAAGACGACAGGCGTGAGGGTGGGGTTTAGGAGATAGGTTTAAAGTAAAAAAACGAAGGTTTTTTAGATTTAAAGTAAAAAAACGAAGGGTTTTTTTAAAATGATAATCAAAGTTCAGATGGTACCGTTGTGAATTGATACAGCAGGAAAAAAACTTGAATAATTTATCTAAAAATTATGAATATTCTATAACAATGCCAAACTACTTTTTTTCTGAATAGGAATAGCCAATATCGTTACCGATTCAAACATCATGTACTGAATTCTATCCAAAAAAACAAGTTTTGAAATCTTTTTGAATGAATTGTACAATAAATATTTCAGAAAATATATAGAACATCAGAAAGAGAATTAAAAATGAATTATTACACTCTAACAGCAGAAATGGAGGAAGGCAAGAAAGATACAAATTTAATCTAAAAAATATTTTTTGTATTATTTTGGTTTCTTTTGATAGAAAGTGACTCTGACGACCCAAGTTGGCTTCTTACAACATCAGAAAATACAAAAAACAAAGTACAACAAGAAAATTATGTACAGGCTAGTGCTGTTCATGGACAAATAAATACTGTACAAGAGAGCACTTCTGTACACAAGCCCACTGAATCAAAATTATTAGAAGATGCTGTTAGGAATAGTAAATCATTGAAATGGATTCATGAATTTCTTTTTCTTTTCCTTTAAACTTTTCAGGATAGGAAAACAGGGGTGTATATATTTTAGAATAATTGATGATGAAAATGAAAATGAAAAATTTAACAGGAAAAGGAAACTTTTTCTTTCTTTTTGAAAGGCTACTTAAAATTTTTATTTATACGTTATACCAAAAATCTCATTGATTTAAAATCATTTGTTTTTACTAACTGAGCGAATAAAACACTAAAAAAATTAATGTGGAAAAAAATAATTTTTAAAAAGATGTTGAGAAAAATAATTTTTAGAGGGAATATACACCCTTGCACGAAGGAATGAATGGTTTTAAACTTTTGTGTTAGGTTTTAGTTTTAAGTTTTCTAGGTAAAGACCAAAGTGTAAAAGAAAAAAAAACTTTAACGAGGAAAAAAGGATAAACAAATGGAAACAAAGTTGTTTTCTAAAAGAAAAGAATAAAGTAAATAAGTCAAAAAGAGAAAACATGAGAACAAATATTGATATTGTAAAAAAGTAGTGAGAAGGATAAAGGAGGAATAAATTCGAATAGAAATAATCAAAAAGAAAAAAAGAAAAAAGTAAAAAGAAGAAAACTGAAATGGATGAATTAGAAAAGTTAAAGTAAAATGAATTATAAATGAATTTTCCATATAGAAATTACATTTCTCCTCAAACCTACCAAGATCTTCTAAACTCCGCAGCAAGAAATCCTCCAAAATGTTCCGACCAAAATCCACCAAAATATTCCGACAAAACTCCTCAAAATTTGTCCAGAAACACCTTACAACACTCTGATCCTGAAACTCCAGTTGTCCTTAGGAATAGACCAAGGTTAACTAAAAATTAGGCACGTTTAAATTCAGTTTGCGTCGGTTGTTAGACATTTCTTCTAGTAAAACTTGTGTTTATGTGCAGAAGGAAGACGACTTCTAACTCCGGTGGTCGAAGAGCGAGTCAACGGTTTAGTCGTCTTCTCGAGGGTACAATACAATACATGGATAAATCAACAGTTATCGAGAAAAGATAATTTTCTAAGTTGTAACGAGTTTAAACATTCCAGTGACGTCATTAATCACTTAGAAGCATACCTAATTTTAATAGTTTACGGAAACGCAAATTTTCAGCGCTAAAGGGAGAGTTCATAAATTTTGAGAGATAAAAGACAAAGCTAGTAGTTTTTTATTTGATCTATAAAATAGTTGTATTGACGGATCTTTAAAATATTATTGAACGAAAGCTTCCGAAACGAATTTAATATTTTCTTTCAGAATTTATGATATATTTACCCCCCCCCCCCCCGGATTATAAACAACTATATTTATCGTTTTTCCGTTTTTATTTTATCATATTTTGCCGAAATGTATTCCTGGGTAGGGTTTAGTATTTCTTACTTTTATCTGAACTTTTTCCTATCATCAGTTCATCACTAAGCTTTCTTTGATGGATGATATTCCTCTGTCTTTCTCTATTTAATCTTTTATCTATCCATCTATCCATTTATCAATCTGTCTATCCATCTATCTTTCTGTCTATCCATTCCATCTATCTATATATCTATCTGTCTGTCTAATAACTCATCTATTTGTCTACACAGCTATCCATATATCTGCTTATACAGCTATCCATCTATCTACCTATCTATATATTAATCCATCCATCCGTTTATATGCCTGTCTCACAGCTATCTATCTATATATCTATCTGTTCATTTTTTTAGCTGTCTTTCCATTTATCTGTCTATCCATCCATCTATCTGTCTACACAGCTAGCTATCTATCTCTTTACACAGCTACATTAATATCCAATTATCAATCTCTCTGTTAATTCTTTAAACTGTCCTTTCATCCATCTGTCTTTCCAACCATCTGTCTATCCATCTATCTGTGTATCCATATGTCTGTCTATTAACCTATCTGTCTATCCATTTATCTCTCTTTCGATCTATCTGACTATTCATTCACCTATCTAAGTATTCTATAAATTTATGCATTCATCTTCTCATCTATCTATCTATTTTCTAACTATCTATCTATCTATTTTCTAAATATCTATATATCTATTTTCTAACTATCTATCTGTCTATTTTCTAAATATCTATATATCTATTTTCTAATTATCTATCTATCTATTTTCTAACTATCTATCTATCTATTTTCTAACTATCTATCTGTCTATTCCTCTGTTCATATCTCGATATTCCATCAATTTATCTATTCATCTTCTCAAAGTAACCCTTGCTAGATTTCCCTAGGTATATATCCATTTGTTAGATCCCCCCCCCCTGAACACTGAACCCTATAAAACAGCAGGAAAAAAACTTGAATAATTTATCTAAAAATTATGAATATTCTATAACAATGCCANCCACCCCCTCTGCATCCCCTTCCCTTTGTCTTTATATTTCTCGGCACCCTGCCTATTTTCCATATTCCGATTCCGTAGAAGTATTGTAAATAGGAGTGGCAAGCTATGTAATTGGATCCAACTCTACCGAACCAATCCATCAACAACAAATCATCCACTCTAATGGATCTCAATCCATTCATAATAGATTATCAGAGGCGGAAACAAAACAATCAAGTATTTCTTTCCTACCATATATCTTTGAATCAAAAAATCCCCAAAGAACTCGGGAAAATCCACAAAATGGCCACCGTCAAAATGGCGCCGGACAAGATGATGAATTTGACTCAGTTCCATGTTGGGATCCACATTTCACAGGAAATTATTCATTTCTTCGAACTTATTTTCTCACCCTTTCTGATGATACATAGTGCTCAACACGTTTTACACTGAAATAGTACTTTTTTAAACTTGATCTATCATTCAAATCCACGAATTTTGGCAAAAAAAGAACTCTAAAGATTTTTGAAATCTTGAAATGAGACAAATGAGTCATTTGAGTTTTAGATGGAAGTAGAAACTTAAAAACTGAGAATCTTGAAGTCAAATTTAGAAAACATAGTCAACAACTCCTCAATACCGGTTCTAAGGATTTATTGGACCACCGGGCTGGGGCTAAGGAAGTATCAGACCGTCGGGTTGGAGCTAATGAAGTACAACACCGCCGGACTGGAGCTAAGGATGCATTAGACCGCCGGCAAAGTGTACCGTATTGGGTTGAAGCAAATATCCAAGAACTTCACTCCAAAGAATCATTGTTTAACAGTTCTCATCGAACTGACGAGATTTCGGAGCGAATTAATGAAATTTTTGCTTCCTTTGGTCTTGATGAAACCAAGGAACATTGCTTACAAAAGAATCCGCCAGAAAGGGAAAATGAATACAATTATTATTATTATTATTATTACATTATAATAATACTTTATTTATAATTATTTTTTAATTTTGAATTGCGATAATAATAATGAATTAGTTTTAAAAATCTAATATTCATTTTAGTAGAGAAGAAAAGGGATATTTCCAACGACGGAAGAATGTAGTTTCAGGATATTTTTTTGATCTAGCAAATAATTTTGGGTGAGCTACGAAACATCACAAACTCTATTGCTACTGGGTCTGTATAATAGAATTATAATAGATAGAGTATTGGTGTACTTGAGTACAAGCTTAATCAGTTAAATGTTAAAGACTTTAAAACATTTCTCACACTAGAAGCGCTAATATCTGCTTGTAAACATGTAGTTTGTGTTGTATCAGCTGAAGCCGTGTAAAAGAAAGCAAACAGAATCCTGTTTTCTCTCAGCTTTCTACAGAGCCAGTGACCCCTACGGCGGAATATTAACTAAAATACAGTATGATCTTACGAAGAAAGGGGAAAGAGAAGGGGGGTTGATGATATTATTTTGTGTAAATATTAAACTGACCTAAATATTTCCATCAATAAATTAGATTAATTTATAAAGTTGAACACATTGTTTGCTGAAGACTAATATTTAGAAGTATTCATATTTGGGAATATCAATTTATCAATATTTTAAGTGACAGTGACACTCTATGGCATGTCATGGCATGTCCGATTCACAACAGTTCATCAAAACCTCTATCTTTGTAAAATTCAGAGAATATTCATAATTGTCTCTGCAGCATAATTCCGCAAACCACTTTTTTAAAACCACAATTGAAAGTAAAAGCTCTGAAATATCTAATGGACGAATTTATAAATTCATTAAATTATCCATATTCCCCAATGGTTTATTTTTTGTGATAATCGGTTGGTATTGTAATGGTGGAAAATTTACTCGGGAACATTTTCCGAAAAATGAATTTTACCTTTGATCTAGATGATGTGTATTTTTAGGGATCTCAGAGCGGACATAGCAGAAAATCAAGTGATACTTCACAAATATCCGTCAACTCAGGTTAGTTACAGGTTAACCCAGAATTCTTCGAAATCATCGAAATAATTTGTAAAATGTCGTCCTGGCACTTTTTAAATGGGTTTTATAGTGTTATACCTAAATCTCAGTATTTGTAAAAATAAGTAAATAGCCATGAAATATGTGGGAACAGTTTTAAACATTTTATAAATTCTTTCCATGTCATCGAAGTTCTGTATTTAACTGTATTAAAATAACCTTTGCAAATCTTTATATTTGTAATTGTAGTTAGGAAATTTCTGAGATTGTATTTTTAGCTTGGATTTTTTAAATTGTTAACCTTTTAATTTTAATCATATTAGGTTGGATTGGAACATATCGAAATGCTTGTACAATGTACATGTACAGGAAGCTTTACAACTAGTACTCAATTGTCTGTACATGCACATGAAGCAACACAACTTGTATTTAATTGTCTGTACATGTACAACTAGTATTTTGATGTTTGTACATGTACAGGAAGGAATACAAATAGTATTTAAATGTATGTACTGTACAGGAAGCAGTACAACTAGTTTAAAAATGTCTGTACATGTACAGGCAGTATAACTAGTATTTATATATTTGTACGTGTATAAGAAGCAGTACAACTATTATAGAAATGTTTGTACATGTACAGGAAGCAGTTCAGTTAGATTAAAAATGTCTGTACATGTACAGGCAGTATAACTAGTATTTTAATGTTTGTACGTGTATAGGAAGCCGTACAACTATTATAGAAATGTTTGTACATGTACAGGAAGCAGTTCAGCTAGATTAAAAATGTCTGTACATGTACAGGCAGTATAACTAGTATTTTAATGTTTGTACGTGTATAAGAAGCCGTACAACTATTATAGAAATGTTTGTACATGTACATCAATCAGTACAACTTGTTTATAAATGTGTATACTTGTACAGGAATCAGTACAACTAGTATATAGATGTTTGTACATGTACAGGAAGCAGTACAACTAGTATTTACATGTATGTACTTGTACAGGAAGCAGTACAACTAGTATTTAAATGTCTGTACACTTACAGGCAGTAGTATAACTAGTATTTAAATGTTTTTACGTGTGTAACAAGCAGTACAACTAGTTTATATATGTCTGTACATGTACAGGAAGCAGTACAACTAGTATTGAAATGTATGTACATGTACAGGAAGCAGTACAGCTGAAGGGTGCGGTGAGGAAGACCTATGGACTCTCTGGGGAAAGATAATAAACGAATGGGATACTTTCGGGAAGAAAAAACTGCCGACCATCAAGGTACAAATTTGAATCAAAAAATTGATAAAAAGGAAACATTTTTCCGGCAGGGGTACAGTATAATTCCATCTAAGTGATCACAAGTGTTAATAGAGCGATATTAGGGGCAGAAATTAACCATGTTGTTATTGTTAGGTATGATGTCAAGGTGTAGAAAAAATGCCATACTGCAGAATGTAAACTGCAAGGAAGTTTTCATTTTTATTTATAATTTTCTATGTTACATGAGTAAAATACCGTTTTCGGAAAAAGAAAGAAAATCGAGGAAACATATTTGTATTGATTGACAAATAACAGATATATCTAGCTATATTCAAATCCTATTTTTGTTAATAAAGTTATGAATCCAGGATCCAGGATCCGGGATCCGGTTCTGTTGAGTTTAGAATTTATATCCAGAAAATATTTAATTATTACCATCCTTACTCCCAGCCTAGAGATGGACGCGTTCGCCTTTTTTTCATTTCGTTTTTTCATCGTTCGTAAACGACCCATTTGGTCCGTTTTTTTCAATCGTATGAAAAAAATTATTTCGTTTGTTCTCAAAATTATCGTTCATTTTCCATCTATTTTGTTCGTTTTTCCACTAAACGATCGTTCAGTAAAAAATGTTAATAAGCATAATCAGAAAATCACTCGTTCATTGAAAAAACCGATAGTGTTTTTCAAAATTGTTTCAAAATCGTTCGTTTTTTAACGACACCATCGTTAACGAAAAATTTCGTTCGTTTCTTAAAAAATTTAGTTTGTTGAGAAAAACGATGTCCATCTCTTGCTCCCGCTACAAGTTGGAGAATTCCAGTAATCGTGAAATTTTATTAAAAAACTTTTCCGAAAATTCATTTTCCTTTTGGAAAAGAGAAGAGGGGGAAATCCCCGTAGTGGGAAGTGGGGAGGGGGGGGGATTATTATGTCTACTTTAATCTCTTTGGAAGCAGGAAGAGTTTGCACACACATCATATTTAATTTTCAAGTTGAGAATTTGATCCAAGTTTCTGAAAATATTTTGATTAATTTGAAAATGTTTAGGATCTGGTGAGGAAAGGGATACCTCATCATTTTAGAGGCATTGCTTGGCAGGTACAGTGAAACCCTTAATAACGAATACATCGGAAGAATTTATCAAATGTCGTCTTGACAATTTTTCAATGAGTTTAATATTATATTACGTAAATTCCAGTATTTGCGAAAATAAATAAATATCCATGAATATGCGGCAACAGTTTTAAAGAGTTCCAAATGATCATTTAATTAAAAAACTAAATATCTGCAACATTCCATTATCAGAAAGTGAAGAATAAGACATTTGATGAATTCTTTCTTTCTATGTATTTGTTATTAAGGGTTTCACTGTAGTAAAATGAATATTTTAAAAAACTTGACGCAACTTGTGAAAAACTTGAAAATAGCTTATCCCCATTTATTTTTGCCAAAAAAGTTGCAATTTTGAATAATCATGGATAGGCTAAAAAATATTTTCATTTATAAATAACTTATTGATTAATTTTTACTCAAAAAAAGCGTATTTACCACACACTTTGAAATTCTTATCCCTATATCTTTGCAACCCAATATCGTAGATCTGAGATATTTGAAACTATGAATTTGCTAGCTCAAAAAATCTAAGTTAAAATATAAAAGGTTTACACCATCAGGTTGCAAATATATATAGATAAGAAAATTTGAGGTTGTGGCAGAAGCGATAATACCAAAACTCAAAGTGCAGAAAAATGCTATTTCTCAGGTTCTTTGTGGTGCGCATGAATGTACAGAGAAAGCTAAGTATGCGGAATACATGAAATCCACGAGTGCTTGCGAAAAGGTAAAATCAGCTGATTAATAATCCGACATTTTTTAGTTTTTTTAACGAAGTGCGTTAATATGTGACTTTTTTTGCATTATTTCAATGCAATTTTGTATTGAACTATATCTGCATTGATATTTCTTTGATACATCTTTTTAGTTTTACATCTGTTTTTTTTAGGTTATTAGGCGAGATATAGCTAGGACCTACCCTGAACATGATTTTTTTAAGAAAAAGGTGAATCATTAATTATTAATCATAAAAAATCTACTATTTGTTAAAAGAATAAAATTTCATTCATTATTGTGAGTTGTAAATTATAAATTTTAGTTAAAAAAGAGAGAATTCTTCATTTTTATGTAAAAAGTTATTTTTTATAAAAAATTTATTTTCAACTGTTAATTTGTTAGGATGGTGTCGGACAGGAAGCATTGTTTAATGTGATGAAAGCATACAGTATACATGATAGGTATACAACTACCAGTTTTTCTACCTCAATATTTTTACTAGCAATATCATGATTTCTTAAACAAATTGTTAAATGCTACTAAGATTATCAAAAACTTTTATTTACAATTTGTAGAAACTAAAAAACTTTATTAACTCACTTAAAAACTAATTTATATTTAAATCGTGGCGAAAATTATATCAGCTGCATGTGACGTGGCTTTAACTTTGCCGCTTCAAGATATCCGGCCTAGCTCTATATCGTCTTCCGCCACAAATTTAAATTATAAACTTTATTATTTGTTTCTGTTTAGAGAGGTTGGATATTGCCAGGGTTCAGCGTTTATTGTTGGACTTCTTCTCATGCAGGTTAGTCATCAGAGTAATTTAGTCTTATAGCCCATTTTTTTGGTCCCTGCTAATATTTTCCCTTAATTTTTTTCTCACTGTCGTTTTTTTGTGTCTGCCAGTTTTTTTCTCACTTTTTTAGATGTCTGCCATTTTATTTGACTTTTTTGTCTCTGCCATTCTTTTTTACTATTTTTTATTTTAATTTTATATTGTCTTCAAATTTCCCCTTCCTTCAAGTTTTTGCTCTCGTGTCAGTTATTTTAATTTTTTTATTACTTTCTTGGTCTCTGTCATATTTTTTAAAAACATTTATTGACCTCTGAAAGCATAAAAACCAACTAAAGCATTTAATTCTATTTCTTCATAAATAATAAGGGAAGAGATGAATATGTTTTTTAACATAAAAAAAAATTATTTCAAACATGTGCTTTTTTTACAGATGCCCGAGGAGGAATCGTTTGCAGTTTTGGTGAAAATAATGCAGGATTACAGGTTGGTTATATCATACATTTTAAAGTGATTGTCAGTGTTATTTTAAATGAACCTTTAATTGAAGAAAGTGTCAACGATATTTCATCAGACTCTTTAACTTTAAAGGTTTTTTTAAAGCGTTTTTTTACAGTAATTGTCAGCGGTATTGAGGGATTGAGTTTTTTGACACAATCTCTAATTTTTTAAATCCTTATACCTTTGCAACCTAATGTCGTAGATCTTAGATATTTCAAACTTCGAATTCTGTTCTAGATCAAATAATCTAAGTTTGAAATGTCGATGGTTTACACATTCAGGTTGCACAGAATAGGGAGGAGAAAATTTGAGTTTAGGAAGAAGACTGAATTTCTTGAACGGACCCATTATAGTTAATTTCTTGAACGGACCCATTATATAGTTGTCTTATTTGAACTTTCTATAATATCTTATAAGTTTATCCATATATTCCAAAATTTTATCTATAAATTCAAAAAAAAAATCTATATATTCCAAAATTTTATCTATAAATTCAAAAAAAAAATCTATATATTCCAAAATTGTAACTGTAAATTCCAAATTATATCTATATATTCCAAAATTTTATCTGTAAATTCCAAATTATATTATAAAATTTAAAATTTTATCTGTAAATTCTATATTATATCTATACATTCCAAAATTTTATCTGTAAATTCCAATTTATATCTATATATTCCAAAATTTTATCTATATATTTCACAAAAAAATCACAATTATATAATTTGTATCTTTGCTTCAAAATTATCAATCAAACTGTGTATTAACCATGGATTGGTATGAACTTTCTTTTTGGAAGACTGGTTAGAATCTGTGTCCTTAAGTAAACGCGGTCACTGTGTGCTTTTCATGAAATGTGTTCAGTATTGGGAAAAGATTGAAAGTATCGGTCCTTCAATTGAATTTAACCAAAGAAAAAAACCTTTAATATTTTAGTCATATCTTTGCAACCTGATCGTGTTAATCTTTGATTTATCCAACTTTAATAGTTGATCAGTTTGGTGAAATTTTGAAATATCAAAGGTCTATGACGTCAAACTTTAATATTTTAGTCATATCTTTGCAACCTGATCGTGTTAATCTTTGATTTATCCAACTTTAATAGTTGATCAGTTTGGTGAAATTTTGAAATATCAAAGGTCTATGACGTCAAACTTTAATGTTTTAGTCATATCTTTGCAACCTGATCGTGTTAACCTTTGATTTATCCAACTTTAATAGTTGATAAGTTTGGTAAAATTTTGAAATATCAAAGTTGAGTTAAGTTCTTATATTAAATTCTTAGCAAAGCATTACCAAAAATTACAATATTTTTCTGTAACAATGACGAACTAATGCATTGAAATGGACCCACTCATGAACTAAGCTAAGAACATTCCCGTGATTCTCCGAGTTCCTCAAATCTCTGAGTTATGATCGGACATACAAACAAACCGACAGATTTACTGTCTGTAACTGTAAATTGCACACTGTACATGAAACCTATTCAGGATGAGAGAAATGTTTAAACCCAGTATGGCAGAGCTTGGTCTATGTATGTACCAGGTAAGCCGTGTACATGTAAAGTTCTGATTTGCGTGCAGAATCATACACTTGTTGTTAGTACATAACTGTGTACAATACATATATAATTTGGAAACAAAAAATGCACAGAGCTGAAAACTTTAGAATTGTGGATATCGAGATCAATGATTGATCTCATCTTTTTTATTTATCTCAAGATTAATTTAATCTCTAGTTTGTAGTCAGAAAAATGCATAAAATTCAATTAGTAAGAGGGGGTGTTTCAAGAAACCCTAACAGCCAATCAGAAGCCAGGAAATTTTGAAATTTTGTCGCGCAATCAATGAGAGAACTCTCATTGGTCGGAACAAAGTAGGAATATCTAAAAAGCGATAAAAAAGCGGAAAAATGCTTCCCCAGTGGATATTCAGATCAAGTGATCGGGATTGAAGGTATCCAATGTTTAAGTTGTCAGCTCAGGAGAAATAGAAACATAATTAAGAAGTTAAACGAAATTACTCATTTTAGTAGAGGAGTGGTCGCGTGTATACAGTGGAAAACAAAGACGACTTGGAATATTAAAAAAAAATTTCACTTTAAAAATAATGTGTCGATTAAAATGTTCATTAAACTGATTTCTGCTCACGCACCTCTGCCCCTTTAGTAAAAGTAAATTCAACCTATATGAAGCATAAAGTCTGACTGCGTCAACCTTGTTGCACCGGCTAGTCCTGTCCAAAGGACTAGGTACAGTACAAACTGGGACCGAAAAGGTTGACCCGGCTCGGAAATTCAAATGTATTGCGGCTGCCCGTGTGTTAGACTAAAAGTCGTCTTTTAATTCCTCTTATTAGTATTTGTCTAAGAGATTTAGAATTTTTCTTTTTTGGTTGTTTAGACAGAGTATGTTCAGCTATGTTAAGAATTTCTTTATTAATAAAATAAAATTTATCGAAACTTGAGATCAGTTTCCCCATATAAGTTTTACGAGATAAGTAGTCTTCAAGTTTTCGGACATTTTAAATCAAGTTAGAAAATAATTATTATTAAAAACATGAACATGAACATGAACATGAACATGAACATGAACATAAAGTTAAATGTATATATAAACATATATAAACATATATGAATATATAAAAACATTAAACATGTAAAACATAGAAACATATAAAAACATATATAAACATATATAAACATGTATAAACATGTATAAACATATATAAACATATGGAAACATAGAAACATATATGAAGTTATGAACATATATGAAGTTATGAACATATATGAACATTGAACATATATGAACCTTTTTGAACATATATGAACATAAATGAACAAATATAAACATATATGAACAAATAATAACATATATGAACATATATGAACATATATGAACATAAATGAACAAATGTGAACATATATGAACATATAATAACCCATATGAATTTCTCTGAACATATATGAACATATATGAACATATATGAACATATATGAACATATACGAACATGTATGAACTTATCTGAACATATATAATCATATATAATCATATATGAACATGTATGTTCATATATGTTCATACATATATGAAATTATATGAACAAATAATAACATATATGAACAAATATGTTCATACATGAACTTATTCTAGATGGATACCCTGGTGCAAGAACATATTCCAGAACTATATGTTCATTTTCAATCACAGGTGAGATCTTTTTATATAATTTTTATAAACTTCTCTATATACTTTTCTATATCCTTTTTTATTCAAAGAATTTTGACTACTGAGGATCGTCATGATGGCGTGAAACATTATGTTCAGTATAATTCTTTTTTAATAAAAAATGTGAAGTTAAAAACTGAAATACATTTTTTATATATTTTTCTATATCCTTTTTTATATACTTTTTTATATACTTTTTTATATACTTTTCTATATACTTTTTTATTTACTTTTCTACTTTTCTATATACTTTTTATTTACTTTTCTATATACTTTTCTATATACTTTTCTATATACTTTTTTATTTACTTTTCTATATACTTTTTTATATACTTTTTTATTTACTTTTCTATATACTTTTTTATTTACTTTTCTATATACTTTTTTATTTACTTTTCTATATGCTTTTTTAGTTAATTAATAAGAGTTGAAGTTATTGCCATTTAGAAAATCAATATCCCTTTATTCTAGATATATCTTTTATTATGCAAAAATGGTTTATATACTATTTCTATACTATTATACGTACTATAAAAAACCTTTTCATTTTATCTGCTGCAATTGTTAGATTTAAATTTAATATCTTAAATCACGATCCGAAAATTTTAGTTTAAACCCTGGAAGACCGTAATAGGCACTAATTGATAGAAATATTCTGAATGGATCTCATTAAATAATTTAATTATTCATATTTGCAAAATAAACTCTAATTCAGGGACTGGGAGGATTAGAATTTAATGAAATTAGTCATTTATCATTTTCATGTTTTTGTACTTAACTCTTAATTTCTCTGCCCTATGTGAATAGGAAAGTTGAATTTAAATCGACAGTCACAAGAGTCCCAATTCTCGTATTAAAAGACCCTATTTTAAAGATTTGCTTACATAAAGTCTAGTTTATTTAAATGTCAAAAATAGATTACAATTTCAACTGTAAATTTGTTGTTGAATAAATGCATTAATGTTCAGGCTATTCACACAAATCTATATGCTAGCAGTTGGTTCCTAACCTTATACACCACAACCCTACCCATCTCACTAGCTTGCAGGTCAGTTTATACCTTATATACAACCCTTCCCATCTCACTAGCTAGCAGGTCAGTTCATACCTTATATACAACCCTACCCATCTCACTAGCTAGCAGGTCAGTTTATACCTTATATACAACCCTACCTTTCTCACTAGCTTGCAGGTCAGTATATACCTTATATACAAACCTACCTATCTCACTAGCTAGCAGGTCAGTATATACCTTATATACAACCCTACCTATCTCACTAGCTTGCAGGTCAGTATATACCTTATATACAACCCTTCCCATCTCACTAGCTTTTTTATTTATTTTTTTAGAACATGTCAACTAATGTGAGAAAATTTCGTTTTCTTGTTATATTTGACACGTTGTGTATAATTAATCCATTTCTCTGTTGCCACCTATTGTACTTGATAATCTAATTGATCCCACTGCATTGGGGTTTATAAATATATATTATTTTCAGGATAATGGATTGCTTTCTCTCTGAAGGGATTGAGATCATTTTTAGAATAGCGCTAACTCTTCTCCTCATAGGCAATTCATTCAATTATCTATATATAATAAAACTTAAGATATTCGTGTATATATATGTTGCTTATAGCCGGCTGGACCGATTGGGGTTAGATATTTTGAGGACACTCATGGGTGGCCGGGGGGGTGTTATAGGCTAAAAAAATCGAATTTTTTTTCAATTTCTTTACCACTGGCAATGCCGGGCCCTTTAGCTAAAATTTTATAATTAATTAAAGTACGTAAAGCTAAAGTAAATTGCACATCAGAATACAATCTTTCAGGTTTTCAATCATAATCACGCACCTCTGCCCCTTAAGTAAAAGTAAATTCAACCTATTTGAAGCATAAAGTCTGACCGCGTCAACCTTGTTGCACCGGCTAGTCCTGTCCATAGAGCTAGGCACAGAAAAACTGGAATTGGCTCGGAAATTTTTGTTCGTCTCATTTACTCTTCAATTAGATGAGTTACACAGGCAGCCGTAGTACATTTGAATTTCCGAGCCGGGTCAACCTTTCCGGTCCCAGTTTTACTGTACCTAGCTCTATGGACAGGACTAGCCGGTGCAACAAGGTTGACGCTGTCAGACTTTATATTTCATATAGGTTCAATTTACTTTTACTAAAGGGGCAGAGATGCTTGATATTTGCTTTTCTCAAACTGTGAATAAAATTAGAATTAGAGAAGCTACGAGGTCATATAAAGCGTACATTCTCTGTCTGTCTAGTTTGCGCACGCACCTCTGCCCCTTTAGTAAAAGTAAATTTAACCTAAAGTCTGACTGCGTCAACCTTGTTGCACCGGCTAGTCCTATCCAGTGTCTGATTTATTTACCCAATGTACAGTGTACAAACTTGGACCGGAAAGGTTGACCCGGATCGGAAATTCAAATATACTACGTCTGCCCGCGTGCGGTGCTAATTCTTAATTTTTTCCCGAATACTATCATTATTATAATTTTTGTTATTATTTTAAAATGAATGATTGTGTTTAGCGAAACACGAGCTTTTAAGTCAAGACATGGAAGGAGTAATAAGGGTAAGTTAAACTTTTTTAAGCAAAATAACGACCAACATTACCGACCCATTTTCACCCAAATTAAGCAAAATAACGACCAACATTACCGACCCATTTTCACCCAAATTAAGCAAAACAACGACCAACATTACCGACCCATTTTCACCCAAATTAAGCAAAATAACGACCAACTCTGCCAAAGTTTTTTGAAAATATTCTCACATTTTCATCTCAAAAGTCGATAAAATTGAGTACAGATCTTTTTCGGAAGATTTTACTTGACCACCCGTTCTCGCGACCAATTTTTCCTGCAACACATCCGGAGCGTATTTCATTTTCAGGAGGCTTTTATGCAGTTTTTTTGACACGCAAAATTACATGAAACATATGTATTTCCATTGGATAAATATAGTTAAGAAAAAAAAATAAAATAAATATATATTATGGAGAAAATGAAAACCTCGCTAATTTTGATAACATTTATCTGAACCAAGAGATTATGAAGATTAAAACAAACTTAGTATTTATCTGTTTGATCCACAAAATAATATATTTTTAGTATTTTCAAAAAGAGATGCCCGGAAAGTTTGAAGCTGACCCGGAACCAATATTCAGTATGGCATTTAACCTCAAGATTAATCAGAAAAAAATGAAAAGGTAAAAATTCGATTTAAACAAAGTTTCGTTTCCCCTGCACGGGCAGCCGTAGTACATTTGAATTTCCGAGCCGGGTCAACCTTTCCGGTACCAGTTTGTACTGTACCTAGCTCTGTGGACAGGACTAGCCGTTCCAACAAGGTTGACGCGGTCAGACTTATGATTCATATAGGTTGAATTTACTTTTACTAAAGGGACAGAGGTGCGTGCCTGTTAAAGGGAGTTGAAATAAATGTTTTAAGTTATCTGTATATAACAATATTTTGCTTGTCTGTCTGTTTGTCTATTTGTTTGGTTGTATCTAATAAACGTCAAAACGGCTGAACCGAGTGCGCCAAAAAGTGGATCTCGTACAGTCATGACCCTAAGGAAGGTGTATGGATGGAAAGCCTAATTTTGTAAAAACTAATTACTTTTTATTGGATCAACAGAGATATGTTTCGATATACAAATCCATATTCTGTTCTTTATCTTAATTTGAGAACACCTTTTTAGATGCACATAATTGCATATTATTATTATACATATAAAAAATTAAAAAATATTTTTTAACAGTTGAAAAAAAATCTGCGAAACCAAAGTTTTGTTGTATAAAAGGAAATTTTTGGAAAGATTGTTGGGAAAATGTAAGTTTTATATTTTTTCCTAAATTTCTTTAAAATTCATTAAAAATTGAATGTTATATTTTAATTTCTGAAGTCATAACAGTTCTAAGAATATAATTTGATAACATTTACTGTAGATCTCCACTCTAAACTTTTGCGGATTTGTTGTCATAACTCATTCAATTTTTAAGTAATTTTTATGAAATTTTGAAAAACAGTAGCATAAATATTTTCCAAACAATTATTTTCTAAAATAAATTGGTTTTGCGGATTTTTTTCAACGCTTAATTACATTTTTTTTTTTTTGTGCCTTTAATCTAAGCAAAACAAACATTTGGAAAATATTGTCCAAAACATCGATAATCAAGTTTTTTTACTCACCCTGTATATATTTTAATACTTTTCTAGGTTGGAGAAGGAGTACAATACGATGAAGTGTAAAGAGAAGGAAGATGAAATTGAACTAAGGGTAAGGAATTAATCCATTAAAAGGCACTACGTGTGGGTGTAACTGTAGGACGTCCCTAAAAGTCTGCTTTGATTTGAATTTGTTCTGTTATTTAGATTTTATTAATTTTAAGTGACCCTATGTTTTGAATTTCAAAGAGTGTGGCATATCCGATCAATAACAGTAGCCTTTAAACCTCTCTTTGTCATTTTTCAATTGGAAAACAAGAATATCTCATTCATCTGTAATCAGACAAATGTCTGTTAAAATGTTATTTTAATATTTTAGCGTCTGCGAACTGAGAACAGGTTACTACGCCAAAGGATAGATATACTCAACAACGAGTCCAGCGAGTTGGCCGATAGACTTATACAGGTACAGAGTACAGCACAGTACAGTACAATAAAGTAAAACACTTAAATACAGTACAGGTACAATGCTCAGTAGGAATGCATTTTTCACTGCACCCATACGCAAAGTGTAGTATATGTTCTTATTCAGCTAAATATCTAAAACGGAGGCAATGTGTCTCCTTCAATATTGAAGTGTACCCAACAAATGGCTGATACACTTGTGCAGTTTACAGAACAATAAAATACAGTACAGTACAGTACAGTACAGTACAGTACAGTACAGTACAGTACAGTACAGTACAGTACAGTACAGTACAGTACAGTACAGTACAGTACAGACAGTGCACAGTACACAGTACACAGTGCAGTGAAGTGCACAGTACACAGTACACAGTGCAGTGCAGTGCAGTGTAGTGCACAGTACACAGTACACAGTGCAGTGCAGTGCAGTGCAGTGCAGTTAGACTTATTATACAGCGTACAGTAGCCATGAAATACATTACATAGAATACTCAACACATTTATAAAGGTTTGGTGTACAGTGTACAGTAAATTGAATTAAAATCTATACAATACATTCTAACTAAATTGCGGTTTCTAATGTAATGGATATTATTTATTGGATACTGATTAGAAATAGTAAATGGATTAAGAAGATAACTTTTTCTGTTAAATTTATTATATAATTGATTATTTTGCCGGTAGGTTTAATGATTAATTTTCAATTGATTGATTGTTTCATTGATTAATTGATTGATTGATTTATGTGTAGGGTCAGGTGACCCGAGCAGAGGAGGAGGAGACTAACTTTGTGATGAAGCGGGAACTAGCGGCAGTCAGACAACATGATCAGGAGACAAATAACAAGCTAGAGATGCTTCAACTCAGGTAGATAGTCTGGCAACATGACCAGGAGATCATTATTTACGTCTTAAAAGTAACAAAAAACATATGACATGGTCTCAAATTCAAAGCACATGGATCATTGTTATTCATGATATTTTATTCAGGATTCGTGAGTTGGAAGACCAGACCTCTAAACCCTCTAGTCTAGAGGTAATTCAACATGGATTTTCTTAATAGCAAAATGGCTACGAAATATTATGATCAATAGGGTGCCTTTTGAGGTGAACTATATTGGAGACTATGCATGAAACTTTCACACATTTATACAAATACCGACAGCACATCTGTGTATCAGGAAAGTGTGCACATGTGCAGTGGGTTTGTGCCACTACGCCATTGAACTTAACCCGTGCTTGGTGGTTCACACTTCAGCCCTTGTGGCCAGCCACCAATGACCCTCCGCTACTTCCATTGGAGGTAGAGCGGTGACATTGGAGGTAGTGCGGTGACATTGGAGGTAGTGCGGTGACATTGGAGGTAGTGCGGTGACATTGGAGGTAGTGCGGTGACATTGGAGGTAGAGCGGTGACATTGGAGGTAGTGCGGTGACATTGGAGGTAGTGCGGTGACATTGGAGGTAGTGCGTTGACATTGGCTCTTCCCTGAACTTTCCTCGGATTTAAGTGTGACTATTTTATTCATTTATTTTATTAATGTCATTTGTATTATCATTTGAGTTCATGACAGGCTACTAGACGGCACTGAAATGATTTGATGTCTTCAATTGTATCTTGGATAGGACTCATTGCTTAGCGACCAATTCAAAGACATGATAAAGGCAACTTTATAACACTAATACTGGTTATGACATCTTTATTTTGAATGTTTAGGATTTGTCCTTAAAGAGTGAAATAATAAAACAGAAGGAAGAGATGATCCATTGCTTACAGGACGAACTTATTAAGGTGAATTTTTAATACATAAATCCTTTGATTCATTCAACTTTTTCAATTCCTGTGTCCAGGGCCCAGGGAACTGCATTCCAGGGCTTAGGGGACTGTATTCCTGTGTCCAGGGCTCAGGGGACTGAATTCCAGGGCCCAGGGAAGTTGGGAACTGCATTCGTTAAATTCCAAAGAAAAGCTAACTTTCCAGTTGTAATCCCTTACCCGGATTGGGATCACACATTTTTTGGTCATCTTTTTATTAATTATTTTACTTATTCTTTAATTCATTCTTAATTTTTATCCTTTTATCCTTTTATTCACGCATGTACTTATTATTCATATATTCATATATTCAGAGACTATCTATCTATCTATCTATTTATCTATCTATCTATATATCTATCTATCCTATCTATCCATGTATCTATATATTCCTGTATACGCCCTGTATTCCTGTATACGCCCTGTATTCCTGTATACGCCCTGTATTCCTGTATACGCCCTGTATTCCTGTATAGGCCCTGTATTCCTGTATACGCTCTGTATTCCTGTATACGCCCTGAATTCCTGTATACGCTCTGTATTCCTGTATACGCCCTGTATTCCTGTATACGCCCTGTATTCCTGTATGCTTCCTGTATTCCTGTATACGTCCTGTATTCATGTATACGCCCTATATTCCTGTATACGCCTTGTATTCCTGTATACGCCCTGTATTCCTGTATACGCCCTGTATTCCTGTATACGCCCTGTATTCCTGTATAGGCCCTGTATTCCTGTATACGCCCTGTATTCCTGTATACGTCCTTGAAATCTAATGAATCGAATCCAATAATATCTATTATCTAGGAGGAACTAGCTGCCAGTAAATTACTTGAAGCTGAAGCTAATCTAGCACTTAAAGATCTGAGAGCAAAGGTACTTTTGATCAAAACTGTACTGTACTGTACTGTACTGCGCTGCAATGTACTTCACTGTACTGTACTGCACTGCACTGCTTCTCTATTCAAAGAGCACTATTTATTAAAAAATATGCAAAAAATATATAATTTAGTGCCTTTCGGATATTTCTAGATTTCCGGCCAATCAGAAGCCATCAAAGCAATATAAGAGATCATACAATGCGGTTTAAGAACTTAATCGCCTCAAATTAAAGGTTTCAACGCACTATCTCAAACAAAAGTTCAGACTTCCATTATTATCTAAGAAGAAATTCTTTAAATTTTGATGTCTCATAAACCTTCTCTGGGGTCATGTGAAATCCCCCCCCCCCCAAGTTTTGCCCCGGTTGGTTCAGCCGTTTTGACATTTTTTGGATACAAACGAACAGACAGACAAACAAGCAAAGTAAATCTGTAGAAGATAAAGTCAAGCCCAGGATGGTCCTGTTCTGGCAGTTTTAGTTTTTAAATATAGAAAATATTAAAGTTTACTTTAGTATAAATCGAGGTTTATAAGGATTGTAACTAAGATTGTAACCAAAACCACTTATTTTGTTTTAGTTGATTAAACTGTTATGATTTTGATTATTCCGATAAAAATGAAACACGGCAATTGTGAATAAACAGACACTTAATAAAGATGATTTTTAATGGTAAAACTAATTATATTTTCTATGATAACATCTTATGCTTGCGTAATATAGATTTTCCTCTTCCACTGGTTTACGGGTACCACTGTATTTACTATAAACGAAACTGTAGATATACCACAATGTAATTGAAGAAACAAATAAGAAAAACTATGTTGTAGGTTGTAGATCTCAACTCGATGTGGTTAAAACACCTCAAGAGATCAGAGACACCCAAGGTAATAATATTACAACAACAATGATAACAATTATGATAATTATGATAACAATAATAATAATAATGATAAGGATAACAAAAAGAATAGTGAAAATAGAAATGAGCATAAGAATAATACTAATCAATATGATAAAATAAATGTAAAAAACTTAAAGTTTAATAATAATTGTATAATTAATTAATAATAGTTTCTTTCTGTTTTTATCCTGAAGCCTTAAAAACTATTTAAATTTTGAACTCCCAGAGGTTCCAAGTACTCCAAAAACTATTTAAATTTAGGACCCCCCAAAGGTTCCAAGAACTCCTAAAACTATTTAAATTTAGGACCCCCCAGAGGTTCCAAATACTCCTAAAACTATTTAAATTTAGGACCCCACAGAGGTTCCAAGTACTCCTAAAACTATTTAAATTTAGGACCCCCCAGAGGTTCCAAGTACTCCTAAAAAGCTCCTGGGGTCCCTACTAGAGGGGAAATCTGAAGCAGGGAGGTTAGAAGAAGAACTTATGACAAGCAGGTCAGCTTAAATATTTAAATTCATCCTTTTTTGTTGTGGGATGGCGCCGTGAGCCACGCCAAACTATTTCGAAGCCTTATAAATAGCAGAACTACGATCCCTCAGTTGCTTTTTTTTAACAAATATACCTTAAAAGTTTTTGCAGATATGTTCTCGATAACATCCTGAAAGAATTAGAGAGAATTATTTCCTAGATTTCTTTTTGTATTAAATCACTATTTTTCTTAATTATGTAATTAACGAAGCTTTCTTTCTATCTATCCACTGAACCATCCATCTATACATATATCTATCTATTTATCAACTATCTATCTATATATCTATCTATCTATCTATCTATCTATCTATCTATCTATCTATCTATAAAGGAGGATCTGATGATAACACCAATAATAATGATACTTCTACTAGGTTTGTTGATCTGGAGGGTAAGCTAAAGGAGGATCTGATGATAACACTAATAATAATAATACTTCTACTAGGTTTGTTGATATTGAGGGTAAGCTAAAGGAAGATCTGATGATAACACTAATAATAATGATACTTCTACTAGGTTTGTTGATCTGGAGGGTAACCTAAAGGAGAATCTGATGATAACACTAATAATAATAATACTTCTACTAGGTTTGTTGATCTGGAGGGTAAGCTAAAGGAGGATCTGATGATAACACTAATAATAATGATACTTCTACTAGGTTTGTTGACCTGGAGGGTAAGCTAAAGGAGGATCTGATGATGGCTCGGATAAGGGATGCGGAGAATACCCAGTGTGTTGCAGAGCTTACACAGAAAATATCAAATCTTGAGTATAAGGTCTTTTTTTTACTCAGTGCCCCAGCATTGCCCGTAAATTTTTTTTTAAAAATTTTGAAGACAAAAATTCAAATTTTGAAGAAAATTTTCGAATTTATCTTCAATTTTTTATTAATTCTTAGAGCTTCCATTAATTTCCTTAAACTTCATTCATAATTCATAAACTTCAAATGATCTATTTACCTAAAAGTCATTCTTCAATCTTCTATTACGACCTTTTCTTTATTCATTGAGCTTTTCATCTATTGACCTTTGAATCGTTCTTCGAAATTTGACCTTTTTCTGTGACCTTTAACTCGTCCCTATTCCTTGACCTGAGATTCAAGTTTTGACCAATGATTTTTTGTATATTAGAATCAAGAGTTAGTGACAGAAGGAGATCTTTGTACGTCTATAGATGAGAGTGACAGGAATGAATTATTCATTTATTATCATTTTATTTTTTTTCATTCTTTCAATTGCTTAATACATTCTCTCTTATCAATCTTATCAATACAATAGCCTATACTGCCTAATATGCCAGTTTTTTTGTTTTATATTTATGATTTGTTGTAGGATGGGGTTTTGCAAAAATGAAACGTCATATTTAAGTAAGAATAGTACTGATTTTCTATTAAATTTTGACACATCTGTTTGAATTTTATTGATTATGATTAACAATGAATAATGAATAACAGGGTGAGAGAACTGCAAGATAAAGTGGCGTGTCTTAGAGCGCAGGTAACCACAGTGTACAGTTGTACACCACAGTGTACAGATGTACACCACAGTGCACAGTTGTACACACCACAGTGTACAGTTGTACACCACAGTGTAATGTTGTACACTGCAGCAAAGTTACACTTAACATGGTAAATGGGTTCATAAGATGCATGCATTTACAGGAATTGTCCACAATTTTGAAAGGCAATTTTTAACTTAATCCAAAAAGTTATTTTATTAGATTATATTCAGGAATATGTATATCGTTCAAACTAAGTGAACAATCCCTTTAATGCTGCTATTTCTGTAGGGTCGTGCATAAGAATTTGTTCAATAAAAGATATATTATTTTCCAAGTCCAAGTTACAAGTAGAATAAACCAGTATTAAAAGTTTCGTTTTTTTCTAACAATTTCTAAGACCGAAATTGTCAATTGTCTTTTACTTTTTCAATTTTTGTGGTGGTGGTGGTGGGGGGGTGGGGGGACATCTCTGTGCACACCCCTACATATGTGTTGCTTGAATAAATAAATGTACATAACCACTAATTCTTGACTCTCTATCTATCTATCTAACAAATAATTTCTGATTTCCAGTTTCCTGGGTTATGAACCAGTTTTCTGGGTTATAAACCAGTTTCGTGGGTTATAAACCAGTTTCCTGCGTTATAAACCTGTTTCCTGGGTTATAAACCAGTTTCCTGGGTTATAGATCAGTTTCCTGGGTTATAAACCAGCTTCCTGGGTTATAAACCAGTTTTTAGGGAATGAAAGAAAATCTAAAAAAAAATTATAAATTTCAAAATTCATTAAACTTTTTTTAAAAATTTTTACCTAAAATCTGGTTTTATATTGAATGGATTTCTAGATATCTTAATACTCTCAATCTAACTGTATACTATTGCAGGATGACCAAATAATCCGTAAGTTTAAAGTTTCCCCTAAGCTTAATTTACAAAAGGATGCTCCAAAGATATCGAAAAAAAAAAAAAATTATGAAAAAAAAACCTTAAAACCTGTAAACTTTTTTTTGTTAACTTTGAATTGAATGGATTGTCATTAACGGTCATACGATTAACATTGGTATACTTTAAACTTTAAAAGAAAGCTCTCACTTTTGTTTTCCACCAAAGATTTCAAATAAAAAATAACGTTTTTTATATTATTTTATTCATTACTTCAATATTCTTTCATGTTATCCTTCCAGGTTCATATTTTAGACACCCTGCCACTGTATCTTTGAAAACCATTTCTTGGAAATATATCTTTCTATTTTTTATATTTGATTTTTGAATTTTGAATTATATTTTCTAAAATCGTTTTCTAAAAGTGTTTTAAAAGTTTTTAAAAGTGTCCAAAATTGAAGGGTGTCATGTCAGTATCTTTTTTTATTTTTTTACTTTTTCAATCTTAAAGATTTGAATAACTGAAATATAAGTATTTATGATGTACGAAGAAAATTCGTAAATATTTACTTGAAAAATGCGTAATTTAAATTTTTTCAAAAAAACTTTTCCATCTTTAAAAGATTTATGGGTTATGACTTTTTTATCCATCTATCAAAAGCCTTCTCATAGCATATCATAGTTAATCTTTTGTTGGGAGCATATTTTAAACTAAATCTAAATCTTCAGAGAGAACCCCATAATGGGATAAAGCTTAAGAGGGAAACAAATAGATTTCTGTTTTTAACATAAACTTTTGTAAAAAGCTTTTGTAAAAATGTTCATATTTCAGTTTCTCAAATGTTTTAACGGATTGAAAATAAAAAAATTACGTTTTGGAAAATTTTAGTTGTTCAAATTCCTACTAAACATTTTGAACTCAGTTGAACCTACTAAACATTTTGAACTCAGATTTTGAAAATTTTATTTTAATTTTGATTTTTTCAAGAAATTGGTTTTCAATGATGAACCGCACCCCCTTAAAAATGGGTTAAAATGTTTTGTGATTTTTGTTGCTGAATACTTTTCATATTTAGAATATTTTAACCCATTTCAATGCCAGCTTTAGTACCAATAATAAATCCAGAAAACGTACTTTTACTGTACTGTATTGTACTGTACTGCACTGTACTGCAATGTACTGCACTGTGCTGTAATGTACTGTACTTAACTGTACTTACTGTATTGTACTGTACTGTATTGTACTGTATTGTACTGTATTGTATTGTACTGTATTGTACTGTACTGTATTGTACTGTATTGTACTGTATTGTACTGTACTGTATTGTACTGTACTGTATTGTACTGTATTGTACTGTACTGCACTATATTGTACTGTACTGTATTGTACTCTATTGTACTGTACTGTATTGTACTGCACTATATTGTACTGTACTGTATTGTACTGTATTGTATTGTACTGGATTGTACTTTACTGTATTGTACTGTATTGTACTGTATTGTATTGTACTGTACTGTATTGTACTGTATTGTACTGTACTGTATTGTACTGTACTGTACTGTACTGTACTGTACTGTATTGTACTGTACTGTATTGTCTTGTACTGTATTGTACTGTACTGTATTGTACTGTACTGTATTGTACTGTACTGTACTGTGCTGTACTGTTCTGTTTCGTACATAAATATACCATACTCTTAACCCTATTGTACCAGAAAACGTACTTTTACTTTACTGTACTGTACTGTACTGCACTGTACTGTACTGTACTGTACTGTACTGTACTGTACTGTACTGTACTGTACTGTTCAAAACTTTTATATACCATAATAAATATACCATACTCAAGTTCTTAACACTATTTTACTTTACTGTAACTAACTGTAACTGCGTTGTACTATACTTAATTGCACTGTACTTCACTGCGCTGTACTGCATTGTAACTGTTCTTCTTTGAACTGTACTCAATGAACTTGATGGTAATGGGAGCACTTTGCACTTTTTAGACAAATAATTTCCAGCTGCCTACACCAGCCTGCACACCACTAGTTGAATATAAACTTTTTCTACCGTATAAATAAGGTAATCTGCCCACAACGCCATTTTTACTTTCATAGACGCCGCCATGTTTTAAACAATTGCCATTTGGTTTTCATGAAGGTTAACGTTTAGACGATCACATATTGATTAACAAATAACAGGATTTTGATTAATACATTAACAATAACTAACAATTAACAAAATAACATGATAACAAAATAACAATTACAGTTATTTCATCTGATTACCAAATTGAATAAAGAATTTTGCAAAACATTCATTATCCCTTAAAGCTGTTTAATTAGTGATTTCAATTACAAATTTTTTTCGAATTTCAAAACTTTGAGAATTTATTTCCTTTATTTAGTAACCACAACTCACAAGGACTGATTAAGCAAGATGCATCCATGTTACAATATGAAATATAAGAAAATGTAAAAAAGTAAGATATCATTATTTTTTTCCACCCAGGTGACCCGTCTCGCTTTAATGAACAGTAAGCTGACCCAGAGTTTAAGTATGCACAATCTAGCATCATCATTCGGGTCAGATTCAGACACATCAGGTAAACTTTTCGCTAGTTGTTTAACAACTTGTTTAAATCTGTTTAAAATTGGGAAGTGTGTCTAATATTTGATCTTTATTTCAGTTTCAACTCCCCAGCAGTCCCCTGGTACTTCACCTAGTCGATCTAGTTTAAACCTAGACCTTGGCCACTTCTCCTTCTCCACACTTAGTCTCAACAGAACCAGATCTAACTCGTAAAATTAGACTCTTTCCCGCCAAATTTTAAATCTGGCGCCATTTTATTTTTTCTCGCGTTTTAAAGACGACTTTGGCGTTTTGTGAACACTTTACATTGCAGATGCTGCAACAATTAATTTAATATACGACCCTAGGTCTCTTTATTCAAGTTGTTAACTTTTTTTCTGCTCTGCGTGCAAGCTCCTCTTTGAATAAGTTATGCAAAAATCTAATAATTGAAATTGTATAGTCTTGCCGCTGGATGTTGTGATAATATTTTTGAAGTCATAATTCATTCAGATATATAGATAGATAGATAGATGTATTAGCATGTAAATGATAGATAGATCCCATGTATATGTAAAATGTTAAGCAATATCAACATTTTATCGACTGTGTACATGAAAATGTATGTACATTGAACAACTTGTGCACAAGCTGAAAAAATGTTCTTTCTACCATAACAAAAATGGCCAAGCTTTTCTCAGAGCTCTTTAAAGATAGGAAAATTAAATGTTTGATGTTACATTTCTCAATATTTGACAAACTTACTGAGATATCAGTATTTAAGTAATAAATAAATATTCACTGTGATATATATAGATTATGTAAATCCCTTTTACAACATTGTTTAAACTCAAAATAACTTAAACCCCTTTTTTGACAATTTCAAATTTTAACAATTATTATATTTTAACAAGTCACAACACAATATTCTAAAATTCAAATTTTGCCCTTTATTATACTTTATACAGTGGTGACCAGAAAACTGTAGAATAGGAAGACGACATTAGTGCATGACTGAAGGGCATTTGATGTTGTTACAAAGCAAATAGCCTTGCTAGAAAGTTATTAAATCACTAATTAAGTGAAATGGGTCTCCTTACACTATAAAACTGCTGTGCCTCATGTTCATTGGACTATTTAAAGTCGTATCTTGAGTATAAAAGTCGTCTTTCTATTCCACAGTTTTTTGGTTATTACTGTACAATGGGACTTAAAAACTATCATTTGAAAGATGACATTTAACATATTATGTGTATTTGATTTTGTTCAAAGCAAATTAAAAATCAACTTATTTAAGTAAAATGGGCCTGTGAACACTGCACACAGCACAATTGCTGTGATTAATGTTATTTGAAATATTTTAGATAACATCCAATTCACAGTTTTTTAGGTCCCACTGTATCAAAATTGTAGTTCACCAACTTTTATGTTCGTTACCCATGTCATAAATCAAATAACCAAGATTCATTTTTAATAAGTAAATGATTGGGAGGGGGGTTCAATATAGTTGAACCCCCCTCCCCATCATTGTAACGAACTTACCGACTGTATTTAGCAATTGCGAACATTTTGTTCGAGTTTAGGGACAAAATGCCAGGGAAATAAAAATGTGTGAGATATCCCTAGAATTATGTTCATGATGTCAAACAAAATGTAAGTTTTCTTAACACACTCATGGTATAGGTAGATATTGATAACAAACTGAATTTCTATTTGTTTAATGTTGTAAATATACTTAATTTATTAAGGGAATAAAAGAATTTGAATCTTGTACTATTGTTTTATTGATTAAATATGCACTAATCTGTTGCAAATTGTTTAATTTAAGCATAGTAAGGCAAGATTATTGTCATGTTTTTTTAAAGGAATGAAAGACCAATTCACAACGGTACCTTATATTGTTCCATCAACAGGAACTCTTGATAACTTTGTATTATGTTTAATTTGCTTGCAACTTTTTTGGTAAATTATTATTTATTCTATAGGTCTTGCAGAAAATCAATAATTTAATTTTAAAAACGCTTTAGATAAAGAATATTTAGGATTTAGGGAATATACGGTGGTAGGCGATAATATCAATAATTTCAATACAATGAAGACGACTTTCGATTCTAATTTTGATTTATATCAAGCTTTTAAACAGCATGATACACAAAAACATGGAAACAGAGAAAATCTGTCGATTAAAAAAGCTTCTCAATTTAATTGCATGTAACCTTGTAATTCGAAAAAAGCTTGTTAACAATTAAAACTTGAATAAAAAAATCGTCTTCCTTTTATTGTATATTAGCACTCTAATATCTTAGGGTCACTTGTAATTATGTCTACAGCAACTTGGGAGTGAATTTTCATGTACACTGTACAGTACAGACTGACATAACTCCGACATACAACTTTACAGAGTTGTAAAATTTTGCAAACATTTTCTCTCCGTGTCAAAATTTAGTATTGTGTAAGTAAAAGATATGTTCTTAAAACTGTTTCTTCTCTACCTAAGCTCAGTATTTACCCTGACAGAAAATATATATATCCATAAGTATCTCCTCAAACTACTCAAAATCATCCCAATATCTATAGTTTTAAATACATTTACTTCAGAGGTACAGGGTGTCCCACGAAACATGAAAGTATGCAAGAGGCCTTGAATGTCGTCTTGATTTTTGATATAATTTGCTGCGTTTATTTGTCAACCTAATTTTAGAAGTAAATTTCTAGAGATAATAATCACAAAATTCCCCTTGTCCTGCCATTTCCAAAATGTGGTCTGCATTTTTTGTGCTTTCAATATTGCCCGAGATATGAAGAATTTCGTTTAGATTTCGACAATTTTGCTTTTATTTAACAAAATTGAAATCTGAAACAAACTCTTTATATCTCCGGTAATATTGAAAGCACAAAAAACGCAGACCACTTTTTGGAAATGCCAGGGCTAGGAGAATTATGTAATAATTGTTTCAAGAATCATACATGTTAAAGTAGATAGAAGACTAAATGTCACAAATAATTCAAATACCAAAAACGACTTTCAAGTCGTCTTGCTATTGTCATGTTTCGTGGGACACCCTGTATATAATGCAAAACGGAACCGTACACTGTAAACTAACCAGGAGGATAAGGTCAAATTCAATTAACATTACTGTTACGACCTTGTCCTCCTCTAGTTCTGGTTTTACGCACAATTGTAAGAAAATAAAATTTATTTAATTACATATTATGAATTAAAAACATTTTTGTTCTTTCTAATAGCTCTTCAATAAGAGGAGTTATGTTAAAAACATTTGAGATTTCAATCTTACAAGCATTTTACTTTAGTTTGACGTGAGTTTAATGATGACCCAATAGTTCAGCCCTTCTAGGGAGGTTACAGTGAAATTTCCATGCTAAATCCCCACTATAAAAAGAATATGATATTTCTTGGTTAAATTTTGTCTACCCTCATTCGAAGTTTATTTTGAAGTTGAAAACATCCTGCTTGTTGGGAACCCTGTATATTCAGGGGGAAAAATTTAAAAGTTGACATGTGACAATTTGTTTTAAAATGACGTGTTTTAATATGACAGTTACTGAGCTTATCTTCAACATGTCTGTGCCTTGTTAAATGTGTTTTTTATGAATGTAAAAAAAGAAAGTTTGTCATTTTAATCGTTAAAATTTGTTTATCAATGGCCAACCCTAGGTGGAGTTACTCAATCCTCGCAGTTTAATTTCGGCGAACAAAAATTATTTTCAATTTCTTTATCTTATTGAAAGTAAACAATTTCTGATTAAAAAGTTTGGTATTAAACCTGTTTCCTATTCAATTTATTATACATAACAAAATCTTATTTAATCTTTAATTGACTGATCAATTGATTATTAAAACATTAATCGAATTGATCGAATTGATCGAACTGATCGATACCATAGATTAATATTCAGAATGTTAATATGTTACTTGATACTCCTCTTGGCATATACCGGACTAGGTTCAGAAACTACAACTATAACAACTACAACTACAACTACAACTACAACTACAACTACAACAACAGTTCGAACAACCACAATAACAATTGAACCAACTACAACAACTCGTTCAACCACAACAACAGCTGAACAAACAACTCTTCCTACAACTGCTCCTAAAGTTTGTCCATCTGGTTGGTTTTCTGATGCTGAATATGGTTGCTACCTACCATACTTTGAAGCAGAAGGTGTAACCTGGCTTGAAGCATTACAGGTAGAAATAATAATGGTTGGTTTTCATTTGCTGCATGTAATTATTCATCTATGAACATGGTCCCACGTTTAAGTATTTTCAAATGGTTTCAGTATTATCATTTTACAACTAATGTACATAGGTTCAGTACACTTTTAAGAAATATATCAGTTACAAAATTTTAGTGACATTTTGTAATAAAAAGGAGATTTAAGTATTGTCTGTGGGGGGGGGGGGGGCAAAGAGAAAGAATCAAACTTTTCAAATGTCATTTTGAAAGTTTCAGAAAAATCAATGCTGTCTTTGTCTTAAAAATCGTGAATTCCATGGTGATTTCTTTTAATTGAAAGTGTTATGGATTAAAGAAATACTAAATGACCCCCCCCACAGTTTTTTCATGAGTAATTAATTAGTAATATAATATGTAAAATGTTACTTTACTTTTTATAGTAGCACAACCTCAAAATGCGCTAAAAGAAAAAAGACATTGCAGAGAAAAATTGTATTTTTAGAATTTTTAGATTTGCAATGAGTTTGGAAGTATACTTGTGGAAATATATAATTCTGACCAACAGGTGAAAATTGTTTTTTTTTTGTTAAAAGAAACGTAAAACATATAAAAAATGCTTTTTTAACCCAATATAATTACATATGTTAGAAGACATTCATAAAATTTTCTTACAAAAGAATCTTTTCAAAAATCAAATCTCATAAAATTCTTTTAACATTGTCGTTTCGTTCGTTAGTGTCAACCATTCGTTTTTCGTTTAACAAATTGGTTAGTTAGTTTTGAAAAATCAAAAACGAAACGAAAAACTATCGTTTTTTCGTTCAGAGGTATTTTGTGGATTTTCTAATATCTAGGATATGTTCAGATGCATGTTGAGAATTTACTGAGATACAGTGAACAGTTTGTAGGTAACCCTATTCCTGCTGAGGGGGGAGGGTAATTTGAGCCCCCCCCCCATGTAGTTTTTTTACATAACTTAAACGGTTTTGGTCTGAGGATGTTGAAATTCTCTGACTTTTTCTAAATACCCATAGCCCTCCATTTAGGTCTTAAACCGGGCTTTTATACTAACTGCCTGAGTCAAGCTGCCTGAATGACTACTTTTTTCCTGTTACAAACTGAATCGTTGTTATGACCCACTTTCACTTGTCAGATTTTGATAATTTTAAGCTTTTTGGAAAGCCTATGACATAAGGAAACGGATTGCACAAGTTTTGAAATTTTTGCAAATTATTTTAATACAACCCGTCTAAAGAAATTTGAACATTTTTAGCTTTTCTTAATTACACATCAGGTTATTTAAAATTTTGGACACTTTTTTGCACATTTGAATTGGCATATTCAAGAGCTTTTCAAAAATGTATATTTTATCATTTTTGGAAATTTTTTTGCAAAGATTTTTACTTTATAACTTGATTTTGCACAAAAAAAATATTGAGCACTGATGATATAGATGAGAAAACCCAGAACTTTCACAATACTATCAGATCTAAATATGAAGAATTTTTTCCTGAAAAAAGTTTTATTGTTAGCTCTTTGGATAAATCATGGATGACACCAGAGCTAAAAAGAATTAACTTAAAAAAAGAAGCAAGAATTTTGGAGAAATCGCAAAAGTCCTCTTTGGAGAACCCTAACGAAAAAATTTCTAAACTGTAAAGGAAGCAAATTGTAAAAGATTTTAGGCCAGAATTTTTGATGAAGCTTTGGTACAGTCTAGTTAAAAAGATTGGTTTGCAAGATGTCAAAGTAAAATGTCTTAATCTCTAAAAGAGTTGTTAATATGGCATTCACCCCAGTAAATAGCAAATCACTAATTTTTATTTTAGTAATCTATAAAAAGCTACAAGGTCAAAAATGGTTGCACTTTACGTTGTGGCGACGTCAAAAAAACCTTGTATCGACTTAAGATCAACGTCGGCCGACTAGAGACGACGTCGCCCTGACGTCTTGTCAACGTCAGTTGGTGTGGTGGTTTTTTTTTATGAGACATACTATCCAGTAAGCCCACTGTGTTGCAGTAATACATCCTTCTATTAAGCATTAAAATTTTCAACAAAGAAAAAGTTTATTTTGCACTTAAATCTATTTTCGCCTAAAACTGAACTGTAATTGTACATTTACAGTTGGCAATGTACACTAACACTCCCTTTAAGGAAAACTGAACTATTGGATTGGACTAGAAGATCTAGGAGAGGAGGGATGGTAATGTGAAATTTTTATATTTTAAAACATAACATTTTTTTTTATTAGGTTTTTTATTTTTCTTTATAATATTTGTAAATCAATAAACTTTGTACAGCAATTTTTCTCCTAAATATAGTTGTGTTGGAAAGTGAACATTTGCTGTTTCTTTTTTAAGGTTTCAATGGATACATTTTGGATATCCTCCCCTCTACTTGAACTGGGGAGCGGGCAGGCCCGCCTATCCAGACCAGTTTAACAGAGAGGATTGTGTGTATATTGGACATGGTGATTATACTAATAATAATAAATGGTTATGATCATATATTTAGAGAACAGTCCCTGTAAACTGGTTATGATCGTATATTCAGAGAACAGTCCCTTTAAAATGGTTATGATCGTATATTCAGAGAACAGTCCCTTTAAAATGGTTATGATCGTATATCTAGAGAATAGTCCTTGTAAACTGGTTATGAACGTATATTCAAAGAACAGTCCCTGTAAACTGTTTATGATCGTATGAACAGTCCCTTTAAACTGGTTCTGATCGTATATCCAGAGAATAGTCCCTGTAAACTGGTTATGATCGTATATTCAGAGAACAGTCCCTGTAAACTGGTTATGCTAGTATATTCAGAGAATAGTCCCTTTAAACTGGTTCTGATCGTATATTTAGACAATAGTCCCTGTAAACTGGTTATGATCGTATATTCAGAGAACAGTCCCTTTAAACTGGTTATGATAGTATATTCAGAGAACAGTCCCTTTAAAATGGTTATGATCGTATATCTAGAGAATAGTCCCTGTAAACTGGTTATGAACGTATATTCAAAGAACAGTCCCTGTAATCTGTTTATGATCGTATGAACAGTCCCTTTATTTCAGACTATAAGTGGGTGGATGCTGACTGCAGTTCAACCCATCAAATGTCTCCACTCTGCTGGATTCCTCACAAATAATTAAGCTCAAACTTTATTTAAACAAAAAAAAGTTTGAAATAAAAATCATATTTTAAATAAAATGTTTAAAATAGTTATGACACAGTTAATGTTGCGACAAGTAGAAATTACTCATAAAAGAAATCTAGAAATCTAAAAATCTAGAAATATATAGAATCTTGAACTCTAGAAATCTAGAAATCCTCTCGTTGATGATTTTAAAAACTTCCTGGAATTTGTGTTTTAATTTTTGAAACAAATGTTTTTAAAAACGATAATTTTGCCTTTTTTCATTATTAATGATCAATGAACTAAATCGTTTTTCAAGTAAATTAAAACTGTCGACACATACTATTCCAGTTTAAAAAGGTTAAGATATGGATTAGGTGGTGCATTTGAAAAGAGTGGCGGGGATGAGGGGGTCTCTTAAGATATTACTACAATATTACCTGAAAACAATCAAATAGGAAGACGACATTGTATACAATATTACCTGAAAACCAGTGAAATAGGAAGACGACATTGTATACAATGATTTGAAAAGAGTGGCGGGGATGAGGGGTCTCTTAAGATATTACTACAATATTACCTGAAAACCAGTGAAATAGGAAGACGACATTGTATACAATGATTTGAAAAGAGTGGCGGGGATGAGGGAGGGGGGTCTCTTAAGATTATTACTACAATATTACCTGAAAACAGTTGAATGGGAAGACGACATTGTATACAATGATTTGAAAAGAGTGGCGGGGATGAGGGGTCTCTTAGGATATTATACAATATTACCTGAAAACCAGTGAAAATAGGAAGACGACATTGTATACAATGATTTGAAAAGAGTGGCGGGGATGAGTGAGGGGGGTCTCTTAAGATATTACTACAATATTACCTGAAAAACAGTAAAATAGGAAGACGACATTGTATACAATGATTTTATTTTAGATGTTGTTATAAGGCTAATAGTTTTACTTGACACTTAAATTAGTAATTTAGTTAAATGGATCTGTTGACACTACACAATCACTGCGTCTCAAGCTCATTAGACTTTTTAAATTTATGATTTGATTCTAAAAGTCGTCTTCCTATTTCAGGATTTTCTGGTGGTCACTGTATTACAGTAACTGTAATGAAAAAGTTTAAGAGATATCAAAATAAACATTGTTTACGTCGAAATTAGTGATTTTTTGTGATAAATTCACTAAACCAAAAGTGTTGACACTTCAAAAAAAGGCATAATTGTAATTGTTTAAGTTTTCATACGACTCATACACGGGATCTCCGAATTAAATTGACCCCAAGATATAAAAGTCTGTGTAAGATTGGGCAGGAAAATCAAATCAAATCATACTTTTCAGTGATTGCTGTAGACCAAGGAACTATATACAGGAACGCCCAACTCAGATATACGCATATTATGTACTGTACACTGTGGGAGGAATGTAAACAAACCCAGTGCCCCCACAGAAGTTGAAGGGAAAGGACTAAAGCTCTGATGTGATATCACAGTCCAACAAAAAAACAAGTTAATATATCAAGTTAGAGCGAATACATATGATTTTTGGCTTTCTGGTCAATATGGAAAATTCAAAAGCAATAAATTTTTATTCCACCCCTGGGGCCTTTTTCTCTTAAAAATGATGCGTTGCCCCTAAATTCTTTGTTTTGATCTCCTCCCACTGCAGTACACGGATTGGACGCATCAGATATGGCGGTTCCTGGAATCCTGGTCTATATATTTCTTAAGGGATCCATTCGATCCATCTTTCAAAATAATCAATTAAATATTCTGGTTATAGGAAACTATTATGGGAATTAACAAAATTTTGAAAATTAAATGCATCTATTCTTGTTCGCAAATACCGCCCAATCAGAACTGGTTTCAATATGTACGCAGAGAATACGCAACAGCAATAAACTTTTCTTTCCTTATTACCATGGCTTGAGTATAAAAGAAAAAGATATTTCAACTTTCTTCATAAATTATAATTAACAAAGTATTTATGTTTGTGTTGTGACTGAACCCCCCCCCTCCCTCTTGTTCATTTAATGACTTTAAATACTTTTTTTGTAGGCCTAGACATATACATTTTAAAATGCTATGTGTCTGTTTCTTTCTCCAGTTTAAAATGAGTAATTGGCAAATTGCTGCTCGAATTTTGTGCGAGATTGTGCACATTTTCATTTGCAGTGTGCCATCACGGATCAGGTTGCAAAATAGAGTTTTAGGCAAGTAATCAGTTCCTTTGTAAGCATTACGATTATTTGCAAAAAAAGTGCAATCTCATAGGTAACTAATTCAAACAGTTTGCACCTCCTTTAATGAAAATTTGTTCCGCAAAATTGCGTAGAACAAAATAACGCAAAAGCGGCGCAATTTTTTGCGAATGAAAACGCTACTCTAAACTGAAAACACTTTCTGGAAACGCTGTATTCATTTCATAGCCTTGTTCAGTTTAAGACATCTGTTGTTTATGTGCTCATCATTCTTTCACTTATTTTAATAATAATGCATAATTAGGATTAACAATTTTATTAAATCTATAACCCCCCCCCCCCCTCCCAATATATATAATATAAATCTCAACACTGTTCGACTAGTTTCATAAATTCATTAATTATTACAGGCCCTGCCCGCTGGGCATATGGTCACTATCATGTCAAACCTGAATAGTTATTGTCTTATCGGCACAATGGTCTGCAGGGAGCTAGGATTCCTCTAAGGCGGGTTCAGCCAGCTCGGAGCTGCAAAGTTTATCACAGAGTTCGGGAACATTTCCCTTCTTTCCCACGGTATCAATCCCATTCTCACCCCGCCGTTCAACAACAATAGGTTTGTCAACCGCTTCCCGGGCTTTAACCGCGTTTTCGCGGGCTTTTTCTGAATTTTCCCGTGCTATTTCAAATTCGAGGATTTTCTCCTTGCTCCAAGTTTGTCGATCAGCTGTGAGCTCGTCATAACATGTATCGCAGACCCGGACTGGCTGGTACAGCTGCTCGGCAGGAATAGGAACACTCTGCTCAGAACACTCAGAGCAAAATAATCTTCCGCAGGATCTGAAAAGACAAAAATTGGATCAAACCCAAAAATGAAAAGTTCAAGAGATCTATAATGTAGGAAGGGCCGCATTTTTTTTCATAATGTTGCTCACAAGTTTTTACACACTAAAAATGGTTTAAAACCTTTTAATCTATAGCTCAATCAAGGATGAATGAGATATCTTTCGTTTTCTCTCAAGAAATAATCTCATTTTAAATTGTGGCTTCTCTATAAAATTGACTGGCGAATTTATACAACAGAGGAAATTAAGGAAATTGTTAAAATTTGTACGTGACATTCTATGGGAGGCGACTTAAATGGTGTTTGAACTCTAACCTACAATGGTGTTTACGTCTACCAAACCAGAACTGTGTACTGCAGCCCATACAAGCACTGGCCTGAACATAAACAAACCTTTTTACAACACTTAATTTTACAAAAATTTAACTAATTTATTCATTTCATCCATTATCTATATATAAATTTAGCTTGTCTGTCTGTCTGTTTGTTTGTTTGTATCCAATAAACGTCAAAACGGCTGAACCGATCGGGCCCAAATTGATCCAGCATGTCACAAAGAACAGAAAAAAGTAATATTTTGAATGGAAATCAAGCGCCAAGAAAATTCAAATATGAAAAAAAATTTTACTGCAATTTTTTGATTTATTATGTCAAGAATGTTTTTATATTTATAGGATGTCATGGGTGGGGGGGGGTTATTTACTNGGGGGGGGGGATATTTACCGCGTGATCAGGAACCCATAGTGTAGGCCTAGTTTCCCCCTCATCAATAGCTTCCCAGCTTACTTCACTGGTAGCAGACTCTACTCCAGATCTAGAATATCAGGGATACAACTTGGAATTATATTTCTTGTATCATCTTATTCTTTCATTTCTTTTTCGGATCCGGTCCATGTCCTATTCTGTTCTATTCTTTCCTATTGGAATAAATATACTATATCGTACTTATCATATTTGTAACCTGTTGTCTATCTATCATCTATCTATCTATATATGTTATCTTGATTACATTTGCAGTCAGTCCTGAAGACTACCTGTATCATTAGACTCGTATATAGACAGTTACAGATATACTCTGAATGCAATTGGTTGTGTTAATCATTAATCGGTAGAGAAACAGAGGACTTTAATTTTAAGTTAGAGATTGCTTAGAGAACACTTTGAGTTTTGGCATTGTTACACTACTCTGTCCTGTCCTGTCCAGTATAGTCCAGTCCAGTCCCGTCCTGTCCAGTATAGTCCCAGTCCCAGTCCTGTCCAGTATAGTCCAGTCCCGTCCTGCCCAGTCCAGAGCCGTCCTGTCCAATATAGTCCCAGTCCCAGTCCCAGTCCTGTGCAGTCCAGTGCAGAAGCAGTGCAGTGCAGTGCCCGTCATGTTCTATTCTATACCTGCTATCCTGTAATTCATCCGTAGAAGGTTGAACTGGAACAAGTCCAGCTTGTGTTAACGCCATTCTATAAATAAGATTACTATTAGTCAAAATCAAATCATGCTGTCAGGGATTCCTACAATCCACCCTCCAAACTTAAGGTGAATTCAAGAGTGAGGTGAGGTCTTATAGTATACTAGCTGAAGGGACGTTGCCCGTGGAAAAATAATTGATAATCAAATTTCCAACTTTTTTTAGCCTTTAACACATTATATAGAATAAGGTTACAGTTATGAATCAGACGCGCCACACACAAATTTACGTCTACATTCTCTTTAAGGAGGTCGTCTATCACAAATATATTGTGATGATTTTTTTAGACCAGACCCTGGTTTTAAAATCCCCCAAAAATAATATATCTTTCTAATTCTGGCGACACCTTGAATACTATTTTATATTTACCTTGACATGTATAGATCCCGCTTCAGAGAGGATAATTCTACTTGGTGCTGAGAGAATATCACAACCATACGCTTCTGAACCTAATCAATCAATCAATCAATCAAATCTTCACTCAATCAACTAATCAATCAATCAATAAATAAATCAATTCTCAAATCTTCAATCCATCAACTAATTACTAAACCAATCAAAATAACCTGTTCTTTAGTATCAACGAAAATAATGTGTGTACACGATGTCCAACTAACAGCTGTAAAACCACATATAGCGGATATGACGAAAGTCAGAAGTTGAGTGCAGCTGATGTGCGTAGGTCGAAAGATACACCACCCTTTTTTGTAAATTTTCCTTTAACGTGGTTGATTCCCTTGATAAACCTCGAAACACGCGGCATAATGTATAGATAAGCGCATCTAACACGCGGCATACATGTACAGATCAGGGCATCTAACACGCGGCATAATGTATGGATCAGCGCATCTAACACGCGGCATACATGTATAGATCAGCGCATCTAACACGCGGCATACATGTATAGATCAGCGCATCTAACACGCGGCATAATGTATAGATCAGCGCATCTAACACGCGGCATAATGTATAGATCAGCGCATCTAACACGCGGCATAATGTATAAATCTGCGCATCTAAAGGTTAATCACCCACCTCATCTTGTGCAACAGCTAGACCGTCCGAGTCTAGGGATGTATTGAAGACTGGTGGGGAGGGAAGGGGCTCCCCCACTAGGGTATCAGTCGAACTCTCTACAAAAAATATCAGATGTATAAAGGGAATAAAAATGGATGGAAATCTTTATAGAAAAATAAATTAGAATAGTGTCTAGATGAAAAGCTATTCCGATTGAAAAATCTAGTTTGCAAGATAAAAATATTTAGCTCTTGGCCTGGGGTTCCGTTGTTCAAATAAAATACAGTGGTAGGCGATTATATCAGTACAATAAAGACGACTTTCGATTCAATTTTGATTTATATCAAGATGTTAAACATGAATTAGAAGTCAAGACAATCAGTCAATTTAAAACAGCTTCTTTTTGATTAATTGTAAACTTATAGTTCTAAAACAGCTTGTATTGTATTTATATAATCGCCTACTACTCTAGGAGAAATGCAAATGTCCTTTTAAGGGCCAATATAAATGATTTATGATCTAAAATAACAAAATATACATTAGAAAATGTCTGAACTGGATTGGATGTGATCTAAAATAACAAAATATACATTAGAAAATGTCTGAACTGGATTGGATGTGATCTAAAATAACAAAATATACATTAGTAAAAAATGAAAATATTTTCGTCCTCCTTGGTTAGACAAAAGTTTACAATTGTGAAGTAAGTCCAATTTTAGGTTTGAACCAGAGATATGAGGGTCCAGAGCAGGGAGTAAGGAATAGAAGATAACTGACCCGGTTCGCCCTACCATATGATTATACATGCTTTGCAGACGGTACTTCATTTGTATAAGAAATATTTGTCTGATGTACAATTACCGTGTATACAATAACCTATTCTGAATGTTTCTTATACAAATGGAGTACCCGTCTTCAAAGCATGTACAATTATATGGTAGGGCGAACCGCGTCAGTTGTATCTCCTTTCTATTCCTTACTCCTTGGTCCCGAGATATATTGAAGGCTAGAATTTGCGATATTTTCTACGGCAGGTTTCATTGTGTACAAGACCGATAAACAAACGTCTGTATTTAGGGATATTTAAGGATCCATTAGATACGAAATACAAAACTTTCAAAAATAGGCTCAATTCGTAAATTTTTTTTTATGTTAAAAAGAGGATTTCTTGATAAACTTTAAAATTTAAACCCTGAATGGGTATTTAATGCAACAAGTGGCCGTTAGATGGCAGTCAAAACCTTCCGTTGAAATATAGCATGTCGTGCCGGAACAACTTTAGGACTGCTTATTCTAGTTCATGAGAGCCTATTATAGTCTGTGGTTTGAACAAGAAGAGTTAAACTGACCTATGTGAGATTTCCTGTCAAGTTTATGCGGATATGGAGGAGGGGGAGGAGGAGGAGGATGATGACCATTCCTTCCTTCCTCTCCAACCCGTCCCTCTTCTTCTTCTCCTCCTCCCCCACCTTCTCTACCCTCACCGTTCTCCCAGTCCTCCTGATCAAGAAATAGGTTTTAACATTTTTTAATCATGAAAATATTTAATTTTTGCCCCCCCCCCCCCCTCCTTCTAAGAGAGGACAACTACCGTGATAGTAACCAGGTTAGGTTAAGATAGAAAGAAAGTCACAGAAGGATGTTCTTTTTCAGAACGAGGGGGGGGGGTGTACAGTACGCACATAAAATAAAAACTCACCCAAATTCATCTTCAATTCAATTCTAAATCCCCACGGCCCACATGTAAATATTGTCCTATAAAATAATTCCTCTCCCCCCCCCATTCCCCTTCCTATTGAGAGGTCAAAAAGTGTGTTTTTAATAAAGAATATTGTCATATAATCTTGGGGAAACCGGAAAAAACTTCAATTTTTGGGAGAATTATTAAAAACTATGAAGTAAATTTTTATTTAATTTAAGTTTCCTTAGGATGTAAGTGTAATTTCAAATGACCCTTTATAAAAAGATTGCAATGCCCGATTCACAAAGGTACCCTTAAAAGCTTTGTCTGATCAAGTATGAATTTGATATCCATGTTTATTATTTCAAAAACTGATTATTTTCAATTGCGGAATCTCTGCAAAAGTGACTTGCGCATTTCTACAAATATAAATTATCACTCTGAATTAAATAGTTTTAAATCAAGACAAATGACCATATTTTCCAAATTAAATTAAATTAAATTAAATTAAATTAAATTTAAATAAATTCAAATTATTCGGGATTTCCCATGGACTCCTTGATCTGATAAAGATTTAAAGGACCTACTGTTGTGAAGTCCACCTACCCTATTATCCGAAGAATCTCCACTGCTCTCTCTACTCCTCTCCTTGTTTAAAGAGGGTGGGATGGTAGAACTACAATCTGGCGAGGGAGGGAGGGTTGTTGTTCCTCCCTCTCCACATCCCTCCCCGATATAAAGATCTGTCCAAACTAATAAATCTCTCACCTAAAGCAATATTTAATTGACAGGACAACATTCAGTAAAATGTGAAATATAAAGACAAATTTAAGCAATCCTAGGGTGTATGTATATTTTACAGAATGATTTTTGATGGTTTAGGGGAAATTTTTTTAAAATTAACACCAAAATTCATTTATTTGCCTAATTCAACGAAAAAAAACTTTAAATCTTTTTGGCGTTATAATATATGTAGTTTCTGGGGAAAAAATTATTTTCAAAATAGGGATGGGGAAAAAACATTTGTAGAAAACTTATTTATCAAAATTATTATTTTTTTTTATCAAAATAATTAAACGTTACCTCACATTTGGGCCACAGGACTTCATCCTTTCGGACAAATAGAAAATTTCTGAACTGAATTGGATGTGATCTAAAATAACAAAATATACATTAGAAAATGTCTGAACTGAGGATGTGATCTAAAATAACAAAATACACTTTAGAAAATGTGATTTAAAAAGAGTGTTTAAAGGAAGTGAGCTGATAGTTGAGCTGAGAGTGCAGTATTGAAGAGAATATTTTTAGAAATCAATTGAAACCTGCACGATGTTTGTACTATGTATAATTGCTAAGTCAGATCGCCAAATCGAGATTTAAATCCTTTACACACCATACGAAAGTCTATGATTTCTAAACGTCTCAAATGAACAAAAATTCTCTACAATACTGCACTCTCACCTCAACTACCACGTCTAGCCAGACACTCTCTTTAAGAGAAAACTATTTTCATGATTTACTAAGGGGAAGGGAAATGCTTTAGGCAAAAAATAAAATAGAAAATTGGGGAAATCTAGCAATGTAAATTTTTTTTTCCCAAAATTTATTGGTGTTCCCCTTAAATCAGTGTTTCGGATCCGGATCCGGTCGGATCCGTATCATTTGGTCGGATCCGGATCCGTATCAGGAAACGCTGATATGGATCCGGATAGCGCCAAAAACTAACCAAAACCATGGAATAAATAAATCAAAATGGTTCGTAAATGTATTATTTACATGACGAAATTTTTTCAAAATTATCTTTAATAATTTAATGTTTACATTTATATAATAGTAATGACGACATTTTTAACTTTAGGATTACTATAGTTTATAAATTATAACATTGCATAACATTTAATAGGGAAAATCCGATTCACAGAATCAAAAGTTACCTCGGATCCGGATCCGGATCCGTATCAGGATCCGGATCCGGATCCATCATCACGGATGCGGATCCGCGGATCCGGATCCGAAACACTGCCTTAAATAATTTATAAAAAAATTTACGAATATAATCCGTAGACAAAACATGCTAAACCCCTTAATCAAAATCAAAATGGAGGCACAGCCTATAAATTACATTCAATAAAATCTGAAGGCAGACTATCCGCCAGTGCAGGGCTAAAACTTATGGAAATTAAGAATTTCTTGGGTCGGAGAGATGTTTTTTAGTTTTTATCACTCACCTAAGGAACGACCAGATGGACCGCGTTCTTTCTCTAATCTTAAGTCGTCTTCTTTCATTCAAAGAATTGGCCAGGAACGTTCCTACAGATACAAGTTGAATTTTAATACAAACAATACTTTAATTTTAACAAGCATTTGTCACGTTAAATCCATCATTTCTAATAGAACTTGTATCCTTCTTCACTTCTTATTCTGCTATTTACTTTATCTTTAGTATTTTCCGATAATTAAATTCAATAATTAAATCCTCTTCTTCATTACTATTTCTAACTCTTCTTTTACCTTTAATTTAATCACACCTTTAGCAACCCAAAGCTGAACACTTTAGAATTTTGGATTTCGAGATCAATGCTATTACATGATCTTCTCTTTTTATTAATTTAAAGATTAATTTAATCTTATGTTTGAATTAACAAAAGTGTATATAACTCAACCACTCGAGTGGGTTTTGGAGAAACTTGAACAGCCAATCAGAGAAACCAGGAGATTTGAAATTTTGCGCGCTATTTAATGAGTTAACTCTCATTGCATTGGTCGGAAACTGGCAAGGAGAAAAATGAAAAGAGCGGATTCAAAAGTAAATTAGAAGTGTCCACATTGGATATTCACTATTAAGATTTAGTTTTCGGCTCAACCCATATNATATTTGAGTATGTGTGCTGAACTATTTTGAAGAGGAAGGTTAGATTGAACTGGAAACTGACCGGAAACTGGAGTAACAGCTGGTGTACACAATCCAACCACTAGATAGATAGATTATTAGATAGATAGACAGGGGTGTATATTTTTTAGAATTACCCTCCCCCCTGGGGAAATGATTTTTGATTATTTGGAAAAAAATAAAATGCTGGACATTAAAAGGCAAGTATTTTCAATCCTGTTTGATAATTTTGGATCAATTTTTTTTTTATTTTTAACTATAAATAATTTCTTTTCCCCAATTCAGTGAATAAAACCCTAAAATGACTTTAACAACTTTTAGGGAAAAGAAAATTATTTTTCGAGAAAACTTACTCCCTAGATTCTAGATAGGAGATAGATACATGGATACATAGATATATAGATAGATAGATAGATAGGTAGATAGATAGATAGACAAATAGATAGATAGATAGATAGATAAATAGATAGATAGATAGATAGATAGATAGATAGACAGATAGACAAATATAAAGAAAAGTGGTCAGATGGATCAGAATGTTTTAATGAGATCTTTATACCTGAAAACTGTAAAAATAAGATTAAAAAGAAAACTAGCTGAAGTGCCTGGAATTGCCTGTGGAATTTAAGAAAACTCTGACTTTTTCGAAATCTAGCCATTTGGCCAGCTATATATAACATAATAATAATAATAATCAATGTCAATCCTTAAATATACAAATATATATATATGAGCGAAGAGCTTTATATAAATATATAAATTACCTGAAGGAAGATGGGAGACCGCTCGTTAGGATCTGAAGTACCCAAACCCTGACCACATCTAAGCACGGTAAACGTCAGAGATGTACAAAGTACAATGTACAATGTACAGTGTACAATGTACAATGTACAATGTACAGTGTACAGTGTACAGTGTACAGTGTATTTTTATTTCGATTTTTTTGTTGTTCGTTAAATGTTACCTGTCCGCCATTTTATGTCCAAAATCTAACCATTCCTTCTCTACTAGCACCTGGAACCCTTCCATAGTCCTGAAATAAATAAATTAATTAACTCACAGCAGTTAATTAGTTAACTTTAACTGGATTTTTAGCTTTATCTAAGACCATTAGTCATTAGTCATTCACTCTATTCTATACGTCATTAACTATATGAATAAATTTAGACTTTTTACGTCTAACTTAGCCCCTTAATCTATTAAAGCCGAAGAGTTCAGCAAAATATCTAAAATGTTTCGGTTTCAACGAAGTCATATAAATTTTTAAGTCAAAACCTTAAACCTAAATTATCAAATTTTGAATGAAATATCTATACTATCGTTTTGCCTTTACTTTCTTTCAGAGGCAAAATTTAAAGTATCAAATGTTTTTTATATCTTTTAATCTACATTTGCCTTTCTTCAAATATGTCAAATTTAGACCCTGGCAGAAGATATATGCAAAAAAAGACCCCAAAAACGATGCAAAAACGATGCAAAAAACAAACCTGTTATAACGATCTGGATCGTTCTTTCTATTTTGATCTTTTTATGATAAAGATATCGTAAAGTTTAATAAAAGCAAACTTTAACATAAAACAGAGTTAAAACCTTGAAAGTTTTATTTAATATTTTTCTTCTAAAAATTATCCAAAAGGGTTAACAACACTACCTATAGTAAGGATCTAGGATTAGCTGAGCTAATGAAGCGAACACTACCTATAGTAAGGATCTAGGATTAGCTGAGCTAGTGAAGCTATCTGTGGTGTTCTATCCCACCCATCAGAGCAGTGAACTATTACAGATCTCCCTTCAACCTAGAGATAGAAAGATAAATACGAGTAAACCTTCCCATATTCAGAGGTCCAATGATAATGAAAAGATAGATGAAAGGATAGAATTAGTAAAGATCATTGGAATGGTCGATTACTTATGGAATGATTTACTATTTAATTCTTTGTTAAATTGTTTTTAAGTGCAAATATAAAACATAGAAAATCAACAAAGATTAGTTTTTTTTCTGAAACTAACAAAGAGGACAATTCCCGATTTACAACGGTACACTAACAAGTTTTGTCTGATCAAGTATGAATTAGATGTCAATATTTTTGTTTCCTTAAACTGTTTATTTTCATTTGCGATTTCTCCTGCGAAAGTGACTTGCCCATTTCTTGTTTTTAAGATGCAATGGAGACTCATAGATAAATAAGATCAGATTAAGGTTTCTAGGATACCAATGTAAATCGGGCATTGCCATCTTTGCTTTGAGGGTCACTTGTAAACACGCGAACAGTACCTTTTCGAAGGTTAAAGATTGAAGATATAAAGAATAGGAAAATTAAGAGGTTTTAATACAATGATAATCTCAACATATCACACTGTCAGTAAGTACAATAGAACAGAACATAAAAGCACAGTGTTTTTTAAGAGAGCAAAAAAAGTTAAACTTAATATTGCGGAGCAAATTCAACTTGTTCCTGGCAAGCACATTTTTGGAATGGGCTGTTCGGTGCTTGTTGCCGTTTGGTGCAAGTTGTTGTGACTTGCGAGTTGCGGGTTTCTTAAAACACAAATAATGAGAAAAATGTGTAACCAGACGTTCTTAAATGTACAGACCTCAGCTTTGGAAGGAGACTCAGGAGACTTTATAATGAACAAGGTGATACATGCAGAAAGGTCTGGGAAAAGAAATTAATGGAATAACTTTAACAGAAAAAAGTTACAAAGCATGTAAAAGGTGTCTCCAGTAGTGCAGGGTGTGCACTAAAAAAACATGATTTGACGGAAACTTGTCTCCAATCATCCTTATGTATGAGAACCAGGAACAAGTTAAATTTACTCAGCAATATCAAGTTAAACTTTTTTACTCTTAAGGAACACCGACCGTGGCAATACAGAGCAATACAGTAGTCATCAGTACAGTACAACACCGTGACAGTACAGAGCAATACAGTGTCTTCAGTACAGTACAACACCGTGACAGTACAGAGCAATACAGTGTCTTCAGAACAGTACAACACCGTGACAGTACAGAGCAATACAGAAGTCTTCAGTACAGTACACTGTCTATCCACCCCTTCCTGTAATCCTCTGTCTCATTACGGAGTGTATTGTGCAGTCCAATGTAGTACCTGCAAGGCAGTAGCACATCTAACAGCAGCTTTTAGTAGTCCAGAAATATGGTGAAGCCATTTTGTAGCATCAATACCCTAAATATCGGAATAAAGCAGTGCTGAGGATCCATTTAATTTTGATCCGGATCCAGGTCAGGAACATTTCTTTAAAATTCACTGATTTTTTTTTAACAGAATAAGAATTTTTAAATGATTTTTTTTTTCGTTTTTTTATGCTAAAACTTAATGATGATAATGATAGCAATGATACCGTTAGAAATAATAATGATAGAAAAAAAACGATATCAATGATACCAATAGCATTAAAACCAATCATAGCGATAACGATAATTGAAAAATAAAAGACATGATGGATAAATAAACCAAAAAATTAGAGATTGGAAGCTCAATTATTTTAGAGAAAAGATAAAATGATTCCATGAATAAAATGAATGCATGAATGCATGAATGAATGAATGAATGAATAAATAAATTGAATGTATGAATGAATAATGAATGCCCACCTGAAACCATGAAGTCTGATCTGAAGATGAATGGCAAAGTACTCTTAGCGCGACAAAACTTTTTCTAGAATTTTTAACAGTTTAAGATTTAAAAAAAAGTTCTAGCAAAAAATTCTCATAAACTTTATCAGTTGCTAATATTATATAATATGCAGGGTGGTTACTGGTTACCCACAAAGGATGAGATTGTAGAGACGACTTAAAACTCTAAAGATATGACGCACCCAAGGTTAAATTAAGCACTTAATTTAGTACTTTACTGGCTTAATAAATTATTTGAAAAAGAGAGAAGCAAGTTTACAGTTGCAGGGAATCATGAATATAAGAAAACAAATTCAGTTCAGTCGTCTCTGAAATCTCATCCTTTGTGGGTAACCCTGTATTTGAGCGGGAAATATTTCTGAGAACACAAGTGAGGGGAGGGGTCGGAGCATTCAATATACAAACTTGAACATTTATTTTTACCTGATGCTATGAATGTTTGCCAGGTTCATGAACAGGATCTCAGCGTTATTATAATACTCCTGGCACTCCACCCCTCCGCCACGAGCTCTATTACCAACTGCCGCGGCGTAGGAACGTGCATCCATAATTAGAACTTTCTTAACATCACTCCGCCCCGCCACTTCGGCGGAGAGATCCTTTAAGGACGGTATTTCACCGTTTTGTAGGGATAAACTTGACGCACTGGATGCGTCCCAATTGGAACTGGATTCGGAGAGGGTACGTTGGCGTCCGCTATCGTACGCAGATGCATCAGCAATAGCGCGGACCAGTTCTTCGTCTTCGGATGAGCGCCAGCCAAGCCATCCAACCTTTTTAATCAATCAATCATTGAACCAATTGCTGTAAGAATGGAATGGAGGGGGGGGGGACAAAAAATTCTTTGACTGCTTCCCCATTTATCTTGATTAACTTACCTCTGGTTGGCTACAGCGGGCCAGTACAGCTCCGTTAGCAGAGTTCCGCCAGACTACCGCCGGAATACGGCGGGAGGAACGGAACTGTCCAACTTTCTCCAACATAGCGTCAGATATACATGCGGGGAGCAGTAGTTCCTGAATACAAATACTTTATTCTTACATTTTGGTGTGTACAGTCTCAAAGAGTTTAGTGTTTCGTCTCAAATATTTTAGTGTTTAAAGTCTTTAAGAGTTTATCTGAACCTGAGGGTATGTTGGACAAAGTTTATGCTCCTGATTCACCATACTCACTCGCCAGGCACCTTAGAGAACGCAATGTATTTGTGTACAGTGTAGTGTCGTGTTTAGAAAAAATTCAATAAAATTTCCAAGATTTCAAAACTGTATTAATTTAAAGTTTACTTTTAATTTTTTTTTTAACTTTCCAATATCTTGATCTATAAAAAATGGAATCGTTTATTTGCAGCCAGAGTAAACATTTTACGTACTTTAAGAAGGGAAAATGTTTAGGATAAAAAAAATTAGAAAACATTTGCGAAATTCTTACACAAATGCCACATTTTGACCCTGAAAAAATATATAGACACCTTGGAAAAAGCAGTCTATTTAATGGTTTGCCTTCAGAGCTGAAAAATTTAAAATGAGATGTCCTTAATCCTGATTACTTAAATCACAGTATCCAATGGACAGACTTTTGATTTTCTTCTTGAACCGTTCTTTCTTGGATATAGTAAATAAAAATCAAAAACCGGCTTTTAAAATTAGAGAGTTCCTCCCGTTTCTGTATATTAATCTTAAATGGCGCGCAAAATTTCAAATTTATCGGCTTCATATACGCGACTCTGATTGGTTGAATTTTATACACTTTTCAGGATACAAGTACAAGATTAGGTTAGCCTCGAAATTAAGAATAAGAGAGGATCAAGCAATAATCTCGATATACGCCATTATAAAGTTTTCAGCTCAGGTTGTTTAATATGTTTATATTTGCTTTCAGGGTCAAAATTCATCAGTGTAAAAAAGGTATTTTCAATTCATAATTATAAATTTTGTTATTCTTATACTATGCCAAATATTGACCCTGGCAGAAGTTGTATGCAAAAAACCAGTGCTTAGGATACGGACCCGTTTGATTCGCAAGATTTTGGCTTCCTGGATCCGGATCCAAGGGGTAAAAATATCAACCAAAAACTGCAAAAAAAAACCTTTTTTTAACTCCTAAAACCCAAATCTAAACTTTTGAAAGAGAAAAGAGATTAAAAAAATTTCCTCATTTCTGAATGGTTCATCAAGTTTTAGGATAAAAATAAGCGAAAAAAAAATATAACAAAAATTAAAAAAAAAAAATTTTGTTAAAAAAATTCAGTAAATCTTATAGAAATGACCTGGATCCGGATCCGGATTTGGATCCATTTGTTCCAGTGCGGATCCATCAAAATTAAATGGATCCTAAGCACTGCAAAAAAAAACTATGCAAAACGATAGTTTTTGACTCGGTCTGAATTTTAAAATTTTTTAGGTTATAGATATTGCAAAGCCTAATAAAAGCAAACTTTAACATAATACAGTTTTGAAAACTTTGAAGTTCAATTAAATTATTTTCTAAAAATCGATACAAAATTATTAAGAACAGTAAATGTATTGTGAAGGCACGGGCAGCCATAATTATCTCACAAACTTGTAATTGAGAATTGAAAACCCAGTGAAACGTTTTAAAATTAAATCCATTTTCACAAAATATGTTTTACAGCGGGGATCATGAAATTGTAGAACAGATTGAAAATCGTTAGCTATGATTTCAAATAGTCAATAGATTTAAATGGATATAAAATAGATAAATAGATGCAATAATAAAAAGATGTGCGAATAATTAGATTAGTAGCTAAATTGATATAGATAATAAATAGAGAAATAGATGGATAGATGATAAATTGATAGATAGATTATAAATAGATAGATAGATGATAAATAAGATATATATAGATGATTATAAATAGATAATAATAGATAATTAGATAATAAATAGATAATATATAATAAATAGATAATATATAATAAATAGATAATAAAAATATAAATAGCTTAATAGAAAGATAGATTAAATAGTAAACTAGGTGATAAGTCAAGGTTAGATCATGTAATCAAATGCAACAAAATTCTTGAAATCGTGATATTCAAATAAATAAATTTCACAGATTTATTCGAAACAGTTTAAGTACCATATTAAAAAAAAAAAAAAAATGAAATGATGTTCTATTGAAAAGAAATTAGCTTTGTTAGTATACAATTATATATCTAAAGCATTACATAACAAAAAAGTATTGACACTTGTAAAACTTGTATGACGCGTCGACTTGAAAACATCTGTGTATTGAGTATACAAAATATGTAATATAATACAAATTTAAATATAAACCAGTTAAAAAGAGATAGATTTTTTTAAAGCTTCTGTAAAACATCCTGGACCGAATTTAAAGAATTTGACCCGCACCTCAAATATGGTTGGTTCCACGTAAAATTGTATTCAATGTTTTAAGATTTAAGCCGGCGCTCAATGAAACCGTTTTTTTTGTGGGTTTGAGACGCGGCTCAAAATCATTAAATTCTGACTCTGTTTAAAATGTTTAACTATTTAAATTTATTTTAAAGGGACTGAAGCTGTTATTTCAAGGGATCCTCAATACTACCCCGATTCATAAAGAAAAGAAAACTTAAGTCAGCAGTCTCTTTAAGAATAGAAAAGTTAAGTCAACAGTCCCTTTAAGAATAGAAAAGTTAAGTCAGCAGTCTCTTTAAGAATAGAAAATTTAAGTCAACAGTCTCTTTAAGAATAGAAAAGTTAAGTCAACAGTCCCTTTAAGAATAGAAAAGTTAAGTCAACAGTCCGTTTAAGAATAGAAAAGTTAAGTTAACAGTCCCTTTAAGAATAGAAAAGTTAAGTCAGCGGTCCCTTTAAGAATAAAAAAGTTAAGTCAGCATTCCCTTTAAGAATAGAAAAGTTAAGTCAGCATTTCATTAAGAATAGAAAAGTTAAGTCAACAGTCCGTTTAAGAATAGAAAAGTTAAGTCAGCAGTCCCTTTAAGAATAGAAAAGTTAAGTTAACAGTCCCTTTAAGAATAGAAAAGATAAGTCAGCAGTCCCTTTAAGAATAGAAAAGTTAAGTTAACAGTCCCTTTAAGAATAGAAAAGTTAAGTCAGCAGTCCCTTTAAGAATAGAAAATTTAAGTCAGCAGTCCCTTTAAGAATAGAAAATTTAAGTCAACAGTCTCTATAAGAATAGAAAAGTTAAATTAACAGTCCCTTTCAGAATAGAAAAGTTAAGTAAGCAGTCCCTTTAAGAATAGAAAAGTTAAGTCAACAGTCTCTTTAAGAATAGAAAAGTTAAGTTAACAGTCCCTTCAAGAATAGAAAAGTTAAGTTAACGGTCTCTTTAAGAATAGAAGTTTCTAGAACTTACCTTGAAGATCAAACCTAAGTCTGGCTAGTTCAGCTCTAAACCAAGATGTCTCCTCCCCAGCCCCCTCCCCCTCCTCCACACCCCCCTCCAAGCTCCACGCCAGGTGGCCGAAGGCGAATATGTCCTCGATTTTGACCGGCGGCGACATTTCGTCCAACAGCCGTTTCGTCCATTCCTCGCAGGACCCTGAGCTGCCGAACTGAATCCTAAATAACGAAAAAATGGTTTTGATATTGTAGAAATCTATCTATGTATATACTTTGCTTGTCTGTCTGTTGGTATCCAATAAACGTTAAAACGGCTGAACCGATCGGGCCCAAATTTTGTGTGGGACCTCGCATCATCCCAAGGAAGGTCTATGAATGATCAAGATTTGAAAAATTATAAAATGTATACAAGGGCAAAATGTTATAAATTGAAAAAGAAGATAAGCCTAGTTTTAGTATATATATTTTTTGCTTGTCTGTTTCTTTGTTTGTAACCCATAAATGTCAAAACGGCTGAACCGAAGGGACCATATTTTTTTTTTTTATGGAACCTCACATGACCAATGGGAAGGGTTATGGATTGTTAGAATTGAAAAGATTTGCCTTAAAGTGTTTCAAAAATTGACTAAAGAGCAACAATTTAAAGTTCAAATCGAAGGTGCTTATTTATATTGAATGTAATAAAACAAGGGTAAATATTTCCTCTAAATAATTTCCCCAATAAAGTTTTCCCCAACAATGAAAAGAAAAACTTTCATAAGGCTGAATTTAAACATAATTTAAAGTTTCTAAAACTATTTCCTCAAATTAAAGAATCAGACGTCAGTTATAAGAATCGAAGAAAAAAACAAATGTCAAGGCAGTTAGAGTCCGAATTTAATGAATTTAAGCCGCGTCTCAAATTTCCCAAAAACCGATGTCAATTGAGCGCCGGATTAAACCTTAACAAATTGAATACAATTTTAAGCGGACCCAACCATATTGGAGCCGCTGCTTTAATTTAAGCTGCGGCTCAAATTCTTTAAATTCGGCCTTAGTCTAGTCAAGGAATCAATGAATCAAGCAATCACCTGTAGTATCTACCATCTTTGCAGTATAACTGAAGAAAAAACATATCTCGGACTTCAATCTAGTAAAAAAAGGGAAAAATTATGGAAACCATAAAAACCTGAGAAATCTCGAACAAAAATTTCACAATTCTCCATCTGATTAATTCATTTTTTGATCAGTTGTCCACTTGAACAATTGTCTACCTCATTGAATACCTACATCAAAAATCATCTATCAAAACATTTGCCTCTCTAATCAATTGAAGTAGCTGATCAATTGTCTCATCAATTAAGAAGTTGATCAATTGTCTCGTCAATTAAGAAGTTGATCAATTGTCTCATCAGCTAAGAAGTTGATCAATTGTCTCGTCAATTAAGAAGTTGATCAATTGTCTCATCAGTTAAGAAGCTGTTCAATTGTCTCATCAGCTAAGAAGCTGATCAGTTGTCTCATCAATAAAGAAGCTGATCAGTTATCTCATCAATTAAGATGCTGATAAACTGTTTCATCAATTAAGATGCTGATAAACTGTTTCACTAATTAAGATGCTGATAAACTGTTGCATCAATTAAGATGCTGATCAATTGTCTCATCAAATAAGAAGCTGATCAATTGTCTTATCGATTAAGAAGCTGATCAATTGGATTATCAATTAAAATAGCTGATCATTGTCTCATCAATCAAGAAGCTGATCAATGGTCTCATCAATTAAGAAGCTGATCAATTGTCTCATCAATTAAGAAGCTGATCAATTGTCTCATCAATTAAGAAGCTGATCAATGGTCTCATCAATTAAGAAGCTGATCAATTGTCTCATCAATTAGGAAGCTGATCAATTGTCTCATTAATTTAAGTAGTTGATCAATTATCTCATCAGTTAAGCAGCTAATCAATTGTCTAATCAATTAAGTAGCTAATCAATTGTCTCATCAATTAAAGTAGCTCATTAATTGTCTAATCAATTGAGTAGCTAATTAATTGTCTCATCAATAAAGCTACGTGATCAATTGTCTCATCAATTAAGAAGCTGAACAATTGTCTCATCAATTAAGTAGCTGATCAATTGTCTCATCAATTAAGCAGCTGATTAATTATCTCATCAATTGAATTACCTGATCAATTAGTCCTAGAGGAATATTAATAAAGCCTGGAGGAACGGTTACATATAGACGGTAGTTGGACAGAGATATACATCCCTTCCTCGTCTCACCTAGGTAGACAATCAATCAATCAATCAAACAATCAATCAATCCCTGCACCAATCAGTCAATAATTCAATCATCCAATCACTTAATCAATCAAAGTTACGTTCATCAATTCGAATAAAGGCTTGATATTAAAATCATTCAACCATCCATATTTCTTGAATTAACTAAGAAATCAATTTATTTATCAATTAAATAATTCTAATCAACGTCAACGTCACAATTCACAAACACGAATTAGATAAATCAATAAAACAACTTTTTTGGCATTTTTTTACCAACTTATTAGAATCATTTAGTAACAAGTCAATCCTTAATATCGATCTAACTAAATAATCAAAGATATCTAATCAATCAATGTGAGATGTCCCTATGATTCTATCCAATACGATCCAAACTAATTGATTGATTAATATCAGGGGCAGAAATTAACCATGTTGTTGTAAGCAATTGGAAGTATGATGTCAAGTTGTAGAAAAAATTCCATACTGCAGAATGTATATTGTATACTGCAAGGGAGTGTTTATTTTTCTGTATATCATAATTTGTCTGATATAATAATAATATTACATCTTTCACACCCCAAATGCAGTGAACATTACTGAAGTGTAGTACACGAGCACACAATGATACAAAACATGTATTTTCATGCCCCCTAAATGTGCTATTAACCCAATCCCATTTGGGATCAGAAATTGAATTAAATGTATGTATTGTATACCTAAGTAGAGAATAGATTCTCCTGGTAGGGGAGGATAAAGAGGAACCAGATCCTCGCGTTCCTGTTCAATCGTATTCATCAATTACAGAATACTAGGTAAGTGCTCGGTGTTAACAGTGGAATTTAAAAAAATCGAATTTTGAAAAAAAAATGTTAAGGATTCCATAAAAAAAAATTCAGACAATTTTTTCCATCCGTTTTGACAGCTATAGCCATCATATATATATATATGAGTAAAGAGTTTTATTTTATAGAGAAGATAGCGTTGCATTCACAAATATCGTCTGCCGTCAAATACAAATAAAAAAGAATAAAATAAAAAAAAATACAATTACAGACAGATTAGAATTCATATTTACTAATTTTCTACTTTTCAAGGACAGGCAATATAAAGGGGCTGTAAGCGTAATTTTAAGAGCCCCTCCATGCAATGCTCGATTTAAAACTTAAAAACACTTGAAACCTTAATCTGATTTAAAATGTGGAAATAACCTTTAACTTTCTGACTCTTTATTTTCAAATGAAAATGGTTGAGAGTTGGTGTTTCCCGATTTTTCTGTATTCTGACAGAACATTTGTGTGCTTCAAATATTTTTTTGGAAAATTTTCCGATTTTACTGTTTTCTGTTTTGATACCAATGTTTTTGTTTGTTTATTTGCATTTGCGGTTTCTCTGCGAAAGTTTTGAGAATGGGCAGGGTTTCTAGAAGGGAGAAAGGGGGGCAGGATTTCTTGAAAAGGAAGGGAGAACGACANAGAAGAAAGGAGAAGGGGGGGGGTAATCAGTAGAAAAGACTTTTCGTCTTTATAAAAATAAATTAAGTAGTTAAATAAAAGCTCTGACATTAAGGAAGCTTATTACAAGAAATGACTCGCTAAATACTGACAAAAATACGCGTTAAACTTTAAACTTGAAAGAAAAAAGATTGTATCTACTTAAGTGAAAAAAATGCTTTGGAATACATTGAATTACGTTACTTAAGGAACTATACTCGTAATTTCAAGTGACCCTCCATAAAAATATGGCAATGTCCGATTCACAACAGTAAGCTTTGTCTGATCAAGTATGAATTATATATCAATGTTTATAATTTTGAAAACAAATTATTTTAAACCTACAAAATCAAAAATAAAATCCACATTATTGACCAGATAAAGGGGTTTAATGGTACCGTTGTAAACTGGGGATTGTCATCTTTGAATAGAAGTTCACTTGAAATTACGCTTACAGTCCCTTTAACTGGAAAAGTAAAGGGTTAACAAAAATCAAACCAATGAATCCATTTTATCGGTAAAAAAACCTATTGAGACAAAGCTTTTATGGGTACCGTTGTAAATCGGACATTAGCAACTTTGCATGGATGGTTCACAAGAAAAAACGCTTACAGTTCTTTTAGTTATTATTTTTTATTGTCAAGAATAATGGCAAATGATGAGTGATTAAAAATTAAAAGGACTGCGGACATAATTTCCATTGACCATCTATTTAAGAAGAAGCTTGGAAATTTTCCGTTAACAAACATTAATCGTTGATAAGACAAAGGTTTCAAGGGTACTGTAGTGATTCAAACATGCCTCTCTAGAATAAAAATCCCTTACAGTTTCTAATAAGATAAGTTCAAGATATTTGATGAATTCCTTTATAGGTTCCCGTATTGGGAACGCTTCAGCAGCCTGAACCATTGTGAACATTATTCAAAATAACAGCTAACAGTTGATACAGCTGGCAGTTGTCTGCTTCACTTGAATGCTGTCGGGTGGGTTGACAGATTTATATAGTCCAGGATGTTTCAAACTTCGCTGTTGAAGAACTTCACATCTGCTGTTGCGTCATGCCAACATTTTTTTTTGCAAACTGGTCGTTTAACTTTCCGCTGTAACAGATGTCTTAACTTTCCGCTGTTACCGATGTCTTAACTTTCCGCTGTAACAGATATATTAATTTTCCGCTGTTACAGATAGCTTAACTATCCGCTGTAACATATGTATTAACGCTCCGCTGTAACAGTTGTATTAACTTTCCGTTGTCACAGATAGCTTAACTTTCCGTTGTCAAAGATAGCTTAACTTTCCGTTGTCACAGATAAATTAACGTTCCGCTAAAACTTTGCTTATCTCTATTACACTCAGTTCCGAATTAGTTTCTTCATCTTGGAAAACGTCTTGCACTGGACGATTAAATATTCGACGAACTAGTCGAATTTACAGATTTACTAATCACGCCAATCCCTGAAAAATTATTATCATTATATATATCTGATATGTACCTGACCAATATTTATCAAAAAATTGACAATAATTACTTTGTTTTGTTTCAGAGTTGGGATAGGATAAAATAATTTCTGGGCCGAGCGCTGAGACAAGAATAGGCTAGGGGGACGAGCGCTGTGACTAGGCTAAAATAAAATAATTTAAACCGATTGCTAAATACTAAACGTAAAATCAAAGCATTCATGTGAATTATGAATTACTTAGAGTACTTACTGAAAAGTTAAAAATTTGATTTCTTGACTTTAATTCAGACGAACATAGAAACGATTTTAGAAACAGAAACCATTTATATTAATTTATCACTGAAACTTCTAAACAAATATCATTTTGATCGTCATGTGAAAGGCCATTAAGAAATACAATTCAAAATCCATTATTTTGTTTATAAAAATAACACAGGTTCTTTAAAATGAGGCATTCAAGTCCTGCAGAAGGGTTTAGGACTTTAATCAGGATCAATGACTTGAAGATTTCAATTAAACTTCTCTGTTTTTCTATTTGTTTGTTGTCTGTAAAAAACTGCGCAGCTGTTATGTTACACCCGTGGCACATTAACTGAATAATACGCATGCGTAAACAATAATTATACAGCTGCGCATGCGCCCTGGATAGATTGTAATAAATCTTCTCGATAATCTGCAGTTGGCAACTACTCGATAAAAATGCATTTGTCACAAGACTGTCTAGTCTAGACCAAGGTCCAGGGTCGTAACCTAGGCATAACAGGGGGTCGAGGGGCATAAAAGCATGGCACGAATTTTTTTTCACGGGTAGTCCGAATATCTAATTTTTCCTCATTTGATAAAATATTTGCTACCAGCTATATACTAATTAAGTGCCCGGCCCGTGAAATTAAAAAAATCGAACTTTGAAAAATAGTTTAATTTTGAAAAAGAAAAATTTGTTATTTGAAAAGAAAATTGAATTTTGAAAAAAAAATTGTATAGCTTTTTTTTGCCCCGGGTGTGGGACCCATATACCCGTGGGTTTTTTTTTTAAAAATCAGACAATTTGGTTCAGCCGTACTTCGCCCCAAAATTTCTTCGGGTAAACCCCTTGTAAGATAGAATTTGTTAAATGTGCGGCATTTGGGAAGCGAAGCCTTCCCGCCACTCGCTTCCGTTCGGGCAATGCCTGCAAAATCTATAGGTTGATGTTAAAGTTTTGATATTTCGTAGTTCTGGTGATGTAGTATCTATTTCTGCAGCCAATCAGAGCCAAGAATTAATTATAAAATGACAAATCAAAATCGCGCATTGTTTTTAATCCATCCAATCAGATTCGGATTCAAGATGTTTCATACCAATCATATCACAGAATAAGCGGAAATTTTACAAAATAGTTGTTATTGAAATATTTTTTCGATTTTTTTCTCACAATTGGCTGAATTTAAGAGTCATTATACTTCTTTGTCTTACGTGTAGTTTTTAATAGTCATTGTCAAATATCCCATTTAAGAATTGGAACAGGTCAGTCAGAAATTAACTTATTTATTTTTAAGAAATATTTCAAAATGTTCCGAGTGTTATCTCTGTTATCAGTGAATCGACTTATTTCTCCTGCAGTTTCATACTCCTCCTTCCCCTTACACAATCCATATTATTATTCATGTAATCAAATATGTAATTTAAACCCTCAAATTACTATTAAAAACAATCATTGTCCATTTCTGAACCTTAAATCATCTAGAAGTGGGTTTTCAACCGCTCAATACTTCCAATACTTAAATTCAGGTAATTACAAAAGCTAAAATAAAAACTTGGGAATCCGCGAAAATTTCTTGAAAAATTCGCAAAATTAGTTCAAAATAAATTCTTGTTCAAAATGGCTGGTTTATTCTTTCTCTGTTCCCTTTATAATGGTAATACATTTAGCAAGATGAAATATTTATATTTTCTGGCATTTATTTAACACAATTGTTTAAGAACAAAGGTTGTAAATTGAATTTTGAGAATATTTTGTTCCAGATCTGAAAATGGCTCCTCCATCAGGTGTAACCATGAGCTACGATTATAGAAAACAATCTGCTGATAGTATTATAGCTGCAGCTGAACAACTGATTAAGGTATTCTTTTAAAATCTATTGCAAGAAAGTTAAGTAATTCTTAGAATTAAAATATTATAAATGATAAAATTCAAGTTTTTTCGCCTAAGTTTAATTATTTCGGTAAGCTGCTATTAATATTGAAAGAGATATTACAAAATGTCTTACTTGACACGGGTTCTTTGCTGAAAAATAAATGGTCATGTACAAAATTGATAGGAGGGTCGGGTCCAAAAATCGTATACTAGGACAGACCCGAACGATTTTTACCCTTACATTCACCCATGGAATAATGAGGTTGTTTATTTTCTTGTAAACTCTTTGTTTAAACCCCACCGGCGGCCCCTTCTTTGAAATTTTTTCATAAAGAATGTTTGGTCTTTTTTATGTTAAAGTTGTTTTGACTATAGGATGATTAGGTGGGAAAAGATGATTTTTTTGGGAAAAAATGATTTTTTGGGTAAAATTATCGAAACAAAATTTCCCCAGGGCACCATAACCCATATCCCGTCACCCCAGCTGGGATGGATAATGCCTCATAATATATTTCCCTCAAATATTCCTTTTTCTCTGCAGGACTTGAAGGTTGTGTACGATAAGATTGGAGCTCTAGAACCTGCTGCTGTTAATTATGAAACTGTTCTCAAACCTTTGCTTGATGTTGACCGGGAGGGGCAGACCAGAGGAACTGCTATTCAGGTAGAAAATAAGTATTCATAAGGTATAAGGGCACGATTTCTTAGTCTTGTTACCTATAGGTTGTATCTATTTATTAGCTAACAACGCGTAAGCATGATGTGACTTTGGTAGCACGACTAAGAAATTGGGCAAAAAGCTGAAAACTTTCAAATGTTTGACTCATTAATATCTCATTGGTCATAGTCGATCAGAGCAATGATAGAAATCAACAGAAGCTGATCTCAATATTCAGCTTCACTCCCATTCTCAAATTATTTTGACAGGGATAAAATAAATTAGATTGGGAAGTTGTCTCCTAGATTTGGTTCAAAGAAAATGTTGACCTTGTTTAGATAATAAAGAAGTGTAATCATAATTAAACCATATCAGAATCTCTTTTATGAGAAGAAAGATTACCAATGAACTTCGCTAAAACTAATGACAAAACTTAGGTGTATGTTTACATAAGAAGACAATCTCAAATAAGGAAATGTCACCAATTTTGTAAATTTATAATTTGTTGCCCTCTAGTGAAATATATCATGAGCTCTCATGTTGTATTTTCTTCATTGCTCGTCATTTAACAATTAAACTAAGAGACAAAAAGTTTTCTAAAATTCCAATTTCAAACATTTGAGAGAAGCGTGATAAATCATTAAACACTACGGTCATCTTGCTTAATAGTATTAGGACCAAACGATCAAAAATCCTGAGTTATTAAGAAGAAAAAAACATTGACTTTTTATAATATATATTTATTAGCAATTCATCCAAAACACACGATTGTCCACATTAAGTAAATAAACTAAAAATTTATAGAAAATTGTATTTTAATCTGCCATAAATAACTTTTTATTTAATCATTTCTTTTTTTGCAACTTTTGAGTTATGTTTTATGACACTGAAAAAAAAAATTTTTATGTTTTATTACAGTCACATGAAATTGTCAATGTTAAAGCTTGAAGCATTTCAAATTTTTGTCAAAAATGTTTTTTTATGTAATAAACATAAATTACTGGTCAGTTAGTTTACTTTCATCGTTTCATTATTTCCTTTTAACAATGATTTAGAAAGTGCTTACAAACTTAATTTAGAAAATCCAATTCTAAATCTAATTTCAAAAATGACTTTACATAATAAGACATTGTTCTAAATTGAAAAAGAAAATCGTCTTGCATGAGAAATTTATTGTTTCAATCAACACTTGATAAGTTCAGGGGTGTAATCTTGATAATCTCAAGATGAAGCACTTTTATAAATAAACAGCACCAATTTTAAATTGTAAAGAAACAATTTCATTTGTATTTTATTTATTGATTTCTGAATGTTAAATGTCATATCTTTTTGTAAATTTAAATTTAAAAGTGTCTAATATTAAGAATGGATATAAGTCCTGTGACAGTCCCTGAAAGAATTAAAAAGATAATTGTTATTCACGTAATTATAGAACTCGTGACTTCAAAAACATATATTTACAGCCTGGTAATCTTAAAAACCTTTTTTCTTTTTAGACAATTATACTTTGGATTTACAATTCAATACATAGGAGAAAGATGAATTGTTTTTCCAAAATTTAACGAAAAAAAGCATATTAAGAAATGTTTGTCACTTCGCGCTAACATTTCTCATGTACTGCATGGGATAAGAAAGATTTTTCAATAAAATATGAAATAATCCTGTAAACTCTGTTGGTTTATTTTTAGGAAGAACCTTTGAGCTTCAACTCAAACTGTATTTTTTTACATAGTCTTGCTAAAGTATGATCTAGTTTAAAGCTTAAGTCCGCCATATTGCTGATTTGTTGATAACATCACTATATTCTATATTTATCCGAATTATTAACTTGTGTTTTAAGTAAAACTGCTGAAGCTGAGACTCTAAACGATGAATTAAAAAGATATTTGGAGAAGAGTATTATTACAGGTTAGTTATCTTGAGTCTAAACAATATATGATCCTTTCATGCAAGCAATGGTTCATTTTAAACCTTATTAACGATGGAGGGAGGAGTATACAGAAACAGAACAAATCTCATTCATTTTATTCCTTTTTTGCTTATCAGTGTACCGCCAGATGTTTTGGTAAATGAAGTAGTCCTCACTTTTTTTTATAAAAACAAAACCATTGATGCTTTAAATGAAGGGTCATCAAAATCTGGGGTTTAAAGTATCTCTTAATAAACTATATCAAGGATCAAAATAAGATTTTGTATCAGAATCAAATTCAATCAAATCCGACTGAATCTTGTACATAATATGTTATGTATTTTTTATGAATATATATGAATATGAATATGAAAATGAATATGAATATATGAATAATGTATTTTTATATTATTAAGGGAAAAGGAACGGTCTTCATCTTTCTGAAGAAGAGAGAGATCAGATTAAAGTAATTAAAAAAAGAATTAGGTAACCTTTATACATTATACATTAAACAATGCATTATACATAATAAAGTCTCAGTTTGTATACAATCGTCATAGTAATTACAATTAAGACGATTTTCTACTTCAATTTTAATATATGCTTAGCTATTCAAACAGGATGGATACACATTACACATCACACATATAACATGGAAACAAAGAAAAACTGCCAATTTACAGCTACTCTTTGTTTACTTGTAAACTTGTAATTTGATAAAAAGCTTGTTATAAATCCAAATCTAAATATAAAAGTCGTCTTCGTTGTATCGATAAAAATGCCTAATCGGTCGACCTTATGTATTATGTTTAATCCTTCTATTTTGAAGAGATGGGGGGGGGGGGGGGGGTTAGAGAGTTTGTTAATTATAATAATATCCTGTATTTATTAGAGACTAGAAAAGAAAAAAAAGTTTGTGAAAAAAAATAAATTTTTTTTAGCCTAAAACTTCTCCCAGCCACCAATGAGAGTCCAAAAAAATGTTCAGCCCAATCGGTCCAGCCGTTGGCCGGCTATACGCAACATGTATATATACGAATGTTTTGTTTTATTATATTGACTAGCTGAAGGGCCCAGCGTTGCCCGTAGAAAATTTTTTTTTTTTAAATATTCTGTTTTTTAAGCCTTTAACACCCCCCGGCCCCCCATGAGATAAGTGTCCACAAAAAATGTCAGCCCAATCGTTCCAGCCGTTTGGCCGGGTATATGCGACATATATATATATATACGAATGTCTTGTTTTATTATTTAGATATTAGATATTCATTAAAAAATCCTAAAATGTCGAATTGTGTTTGGCTCAAAGTGATTCCCCTTGATCCTAGAATTAAAATTGAATTATATTTTGTATTGTATTGTAGTGAGCTTGGTATTGACTTCCACAAGAATCTAAATGAAGATACGACTCATCTATACTTTGATGTAAGTTATATTCCAGGGGTGAATAATCTCAAAAATTATATTATTTTTGATGCTCTGAGGGAAAAATAAAGTATACCTGACATATAGGCTTAAAAAAGGGGTGTGGGGGGGGGGAATTATTTTTCAAAAAATATTGAATACCTCCCTGGTTTCAGTTAAAATAAAGGAACTGCTAAACGCTAATATTTTTCAAATTCCGCCAAAAAGGGAACTAGACAATTTCTTACTTCTCGGGCAATTTACATCTTATTGTTGATGATATTTGTTGTTGAATAGTATCTGATGATTACGATTACAGTCCTAAAAACTAAAGGGGAGAGGGGAGGAGTCATAAAACAGCGGACACAGTAAACACATCACATTGACAACATCAAATATTGATAAAACTTTATTTAAAAACTATTTTGGAAATTGAAATTATGAAGTTGCACTGTTGTTGTATCCTAGATAAAGGAACTAGAAGGAGTATCTATAGATCTAGTAGACTCCCTGGAGTAGATGAATATAATAATATCCTGTATTGTATCCTAGATAAAGGAACTAGAAGGAGTATCTATGGATCTAATAAACTCCCTGGAGAAGAATGAAAATGGGAAGGTTCAGGTTACCATGAAGTATCCACACTTCTTCCCTGTTACTAGGAAATGTAAAGTACCAAAGTAAGTAAACTTGTTATGCCCCTCAAATACACACTTTAGTTTTTCAACAATTTTACTTTTTAATTGTTGCCATTCAAGTCACCATTTTTAAATCGATTCCTAATAAACTAAAAACAAATTATCGCGGATTTTTCTGTTAAAGTTAATGGATTTTCAAAAATTATAAATGTCGCAGGGACAAAATTTGTCATAAACGCTAAGGTTTGGTGAAATGTTGTTTGAACCAGATCTTGTTCCTAGGACACGGTTCCTGATGGAGAAAACCTTCCAGTCCCGTTGCATGGAGGAGAATACCAAAATTATTGAGGAGATCGTTGAACTCAGGAAACAGCAGGCAGATATATTAGGATACAAGAACCATGCTACCTATATACAAGAGATAAGGATGGCTAAGAACCCTGATACAGTTTCGGAGTTCCTGACTACCCTGGGGGTTAAGCTACAACCTCTGTGGAAGGCGGAAAAGGAGGTTCTCTTGAAACTCAAGAAGGAGGAGACGGAGGAGCTCGGTCTAGAGTTCAATGAGAAGCTGGACTACTGGGATTTCCGGTAAATGACAAAATATAATTTTCAAGGATTCACTTTTTTCACTCCTGAATTGAATTTTTTACGACAGAGTAATAAGTTGAAGAAAATAACGACTTGTAAATTAAAGTCTCGTTTTCTATTTTCCCCCCCTCAATGCATAGGGGAATTTTCAATTGAAAACTGGAAATATTCTGACACTTTTTATGTTTTTAGTTACTACACATCAATGGTGGAAGAAAAACACTACGCTGTAGATCAGGAGAAACTTAAGGAATATTTCCCTATGGAGGTTGTAACCTCAGGACTGATGGATATCTATCAGAGGATTCTTGGACTCAAGTTCACTAAGCTGGTCAACCCAGAGGTCTGGGCAGATGATGTTGAGGTTTATCAGGTAAATTCACTACTCACTACTCACCTCACTACTCACTACTCACTACTCACCTCACTACGCACTACTCACTACTCACTACTCACTACTCACCTCACTACTCACTACTCACTACTCACCTCACTACGCACTACTCACTACTCACTACTCACTACTCACCTCTCACTACTCACTACTCCCTACTCGCTACTCGCTACTCGCTACTCGCTTCTCGCTTCTCGCTACTAGCTACTCGCTTCTCGCTACTAGCTACTCGCTACTCGCTACTCGCTACTCGCTACTTACTACTCACTACTTTCTACTATCTACTCGCTACTCATTACTCACTACTCACTACTCACTACTCACTACTCACTACTCACTACTCACTACTCATTACTCACTACTCACTACTCACTACTCATTACTCATTACTCACCACTCACCACTCACCACTCACTACTCACTACTCACTACTTACTAATTAATACTCATTAGAATTATCTTAGAAATCAAATAATGATAAATATTAAGTTGGTATTTTATTCGGCAGTTGATTCTAATCAAGGTATTGGAAACTCAACAGCTATCAAGGAATTTTACTCTTGCTAATATTTGTTGTCTTGGAATTATCTCCTATTTTTATACATTGTATATATGTATATATAAAGTACAAGTTGAATTACCGCAGACCGTTGTTTGTAGAAACCAATAACTAACAGCTGGTATAGGACAGTTCATTTACTCATATATAGTACAATATATTGTATATATTGTAAATATTGTCTAGGTTGATGATGTTGAGACTGGATCTACTCTAGGATACTTCTACCTGGATCTATATCCTAGAGATGGAAAATATGGACATGCATGCATGGTTCAGCTACAGCAGGTCAATTCACACACATTATATTAAATTCCTTCTTGTAAAACTCACTCTCCGCTAAAACCCTCTATTTCTTCGGTCAGTGTTCTGCAGTAAACACTGAAAGCTTAGTTTAGGGTGAACTTGCTTTTGGGATATATGCATTGTTCAACAATAACGAATAAAGATTTCGGTTTTTTGTTTGCTCAGACAACTAATCTATTAATCAAAAAATATATCAGACAATCGAAATATTTATATATTTGTATTGTGTGCAGGGTTGTCTAGACGGTGAGGGAAAGAAGCAGAAGAGTGTAGTTGCAATGATCTGTAACTTCTCTAAATCTACCGCAGACAAACCTTCTCTCCTAGACCATGGAGAGGTTAGAACCTACTTCCATGAGTTTGGTCATGTTATGCATGGAATCTGTTCTCAAGCAGAGACATCACGATTCTTTGGGACTAACGTGGAGCGGGACTTTGTGGAGGCTCCCAGCCAGATGCTGGAGAACTGGGTGTGGGAGGAGGAATCTCTCAACCTCATGTCATCCCACTACAAGGATGGAACCCCTCTGCCCAAGGATATGCTGGAGAACCTCGTCAAATCAAAGAACGCCAACTCCGGAGCATTCAATCTTCGTCAAATCTACCTGGCAACCTTTGACCAGCGTCTTCACAGTAGTGGGGATAAGGTTAGTACAGCTGATCTAGCTGCTGATACCTATAAAGAGTTCCTTGGTGTTGATACTATTCCTGGAACTAACTTTGCTGCTACATTCGGTCATCTGGTTGGTTATGATGCTCAGTATTATGGATATATGTGGAGTGAAGTCTACAGTCAGGATATGTTCAGCTCAAGGTAATAATCTCTTATAATTATTATTTACTATTATTAATACTAAATAAAATAAAATTGAGATAAGAAAGACAGCCCAGAATGGGATCTGAGCTATGCTTTTATTTATTTATTATATTTGATTTAACTACAACAAACAACTATCTTATTTCTATAAAAATCTTTTCATTTTGATTTTCATAAAAAAAACATTTTTCAAATCTTTGATTTTTCAAGTCAAGACATGGGTATAACATTTCAAGAATCCCCCCCTCTTCGGGAAGGGAAATTGTTGATGATCTGCCGGGGGGAAAATTAATAATAATGCATCAAAAGGCAAATTTGTTCATCTTTTTTTCCCTAAACTAACCAAAATATATCTTACTTCTGAGGGGGGGGGAATGATTTTCAAGAAAATATACACCTTTGGTTAAACATGCTCTTGTTAGTATTTCAACATGATTCTTTCTAAAATGAATTAATGTGATTACAATAACCTCGCAGTATAATTATAATCTGGTTTCAGGTTTGCTAAAGAGGGAGTCCTCAATCTGAAAACTGGTTTAGATTACAGGAACCTTATACTTGCACCAGGTAACAGTCTAACTGGTTTAGAATACAGGAACCTTATACTTGCACCAGGTAACAGTTTAACTGGTTTAGATTACAGGAACCTTATACTTGCACCAGGTAACAGTTTAACTGGTTTAGATTACAGGAACCTTATACTTGGACCAGGTAACAGTTGAACCAAACCAATAATTGTTTGTTAACCTTTGTTTTAAAAATGGTATTAATGATTCACATCTGATTTGATCTAAGATATATTCTTGACAGAGCCATATCTTTTGAATCAATGAGAATCCTTGTTTTAGCTAGCCATGACTTTGGAATATTTCAAAACGAACTCATATCATTCATGGTATGCAGTTCTTAAATAGTAGGTCCTCCAAAGCTGTGGCTTGGCCCAAAGGTCGTGTCTGTTGAACCTACAAACTGAGGTATTGGTATTGCACCTCCATACACTCTATAAAATGTGAAGCTTTTCATAAAACAGAGTTAAAAGTTTCGAAGTTCAACTAAAAAATAACGAATACTGCCCTTTTTTCCTTTAAAAATCCTGCACAATTCAATTCTCAATTTGTAGACAATAGATTTATTTAATTTTTATATTGTATCTGTATCTCTATGATTGTATCTATATCTATATCTATATCTGTATCTGTATCTGTGTCTGTGTATATATGTATGCATGTATGTATGTATGTATGTTTCTCTATCTGTATGTATGTATCTGTTCCTGTAATGTAAGTATATCAATTCTATCTATATCTATATCTGTATGTGTGTGAGTATCTTTATCTGTATATATATATCTGTATCTATATGAATATCTGGATCTGTATCTATATCTAGGTGGATCTAAGGATGGAATGGATCTATTGAAGAGTTTCCTAGGCCGGGAACCTACTCAGGAGGCATTCCTTCAAAGTCTGGGTCTAGCAGCATAGATTATTATAATCATTAAACATGGCGATATAAATATTGATAAAACATTAACTCAGATATTGAGTTTTATGATTGTTTTTTAATTCCCATGTTTATTGATCCTGACTGTAGGAGACCGATTAATGGTTGTTTTTTTATTCCCATGTTTATTGATCCTCACTGTATGAGACCGATTCACAAAACACTGACTGGACATCACATCGCGTTTAATATTGTTAAATATTGTGTTTTCTTTATTTATAACTTGATTATTTTTAATAATGCAGTGTAGGAATAAACTTACAATAAATAAATTTAGCTTAATTTAAAACTAGGGTTTCCACGAAATGGCTAAATCTTTTGCGCAAAATTTGCGCTATTTTCGCGCAAATTTTATTTTTGCGAACTTTTGCGCTATTTTTGCGCATGAAACGCAATGAGTTTTGCGCGGTTTTGCGCTATTTATTTTGCGCAATTTGCGCAAAACCGCAAGTTTTACGCAAAATGTAACTTTTTAGGCACATTGTCAAAAATTGATATTCTAAGCTTAGAATTAAACAACTGAAGATTTATTCCATATACAAAAAAAAATATTAACATACGAGTATGATAACGATTATACTACACTCAATTGGTTACTTCCAGTTACAAAAAGTTTAAATTAAGGGACCAAAATTAACAAAATAGAAATTAGAGTGTGAAACTTGGCAATATTTTAATCCTATTAAATAATTTCAAGTGACCCGGCCTTAAAAGCTTTGCTTAATCATGAGTATGAATTGTATTCTTAAATTTTTTTAACCAAATTTCTGAAATCTTTCTAATCTCATATAAAATAATGCAAGAAAGTAACCAATGCCTGAAGAATCCACTTTTAGGAAATATGCATGTCCAAAACTAAAATTGTCGAGAAAATTGTGAGATTTGAACTCTTCTTAATTGTCATTGGTCAATTATGTAAAAGTGACCAATAGGAAGACATTCCAAAACAAGATTTTTCCAGAATTGAATTCTAAGAAACACACACCGTCACCAACCGTTTGATTTTTACGAAATTGCGGAATTGCGGATTTGCGCAAAACTCTTGTTGCGGAATTCCGCAAAACTTGAGTTTCGCAAAAGCGGAATAGGGCAATTTTGCGCGAAATGACTTTTGCGAATGATTGCGCAAATTGTTGTTTTTTCGCGCAAAATTGATGCGCAAAGAAAGAAAAATATTGCGTTTCGTTCCGCAAAAATTGCGCAAAAGTTTTGCGAATGGAAACCCTATTTAAAACTTATAAATTTGTAATTTTAACATTGAAAAGAGATAAGTTAAAATGAAGTTGAAACGCTTAGAGTTTTTTTTATTTGCAAAATACATTTTTGACTGGCAGTATTTAACCTATTTGTCCATCCAATAATATTGTACAATTTCCAGTCTGAACTATAATTATCATCTATCATTGTTTTATACTTTTCTACTGTTTATTCAATAATTAGATTAATAATAAAAATCAAGATTTTATTATTTGTGATTTATGCGACATTACTAGTACGACTTTGTGACTTCATAGCTTCTCTAAATTTAGTTTTTTTAAATCGCTGTTTAATAAGAAGTTGTAATTGAAGACATTTAAGATTTTAACCTTGGGTGAAAGAAACTAAACACTTTCCACAAATTCTTATCTTCAAATCCCCATATCTTTGTAACTTGATTTTGTTGGCCTTTGACATTTCAATTCTGAATTTTGTTAATACAAATAGCATACATTTGAAATATCAAAGGTTTGCGCCCTCAGCTTGCAAAGAAATAGAGATTAAAAATTACGAGTTTGTGCCCAGTGTTCAGTTCCTTATAATTTGGCGTAAAAGTAATTTCTTTCTGACGGCATAAAATGTAAATAAGATTGCTTAAATGCTGTCCTTCTTTTTCCACAGTTTTATGAGTCTCACTGTATGCCAGAGTAATATTTTTACGGACTGTATCATTTACTCTCAGACAAATTAGAATCAATGGACATTTGTCTGAGAGCAAATGACATTAATTTGTAAAAAATAACAAATTATTCTTATTTATTATTTTTTTTTAAAGGGGCGGGATTAAATGAAAATTGTTGCATACCAAAAAACCAGCTTTTTATAAAGGAATGCCAATCTTGATTTAGGATGAAAAAAATATACTTTTGCTTGTTTAATGAACACTTTTCTCAATCTTTTATTTGCTCGTGCATATCGGGAATTTCTGTATAAAAACCTAAATTTTCTTGATGGCAAAAAAGTTCCTCTCTCTACAATAACCTTTTAAAATATGTATATATTTTATGCACTCAAGCAGTTTTTCTAAATAAAATTGTAAAAAATGGAAATTAATTGAGTCTTTGCCACAAACTCAAATTTTCTAATTCTTATATCTTTGCAACATCGAACAAAGAATTGTCAAAGTTCACACAGACATATAAAGCGTACTTTCATGCCCCTATATGTACTTTCAACCCCGATTCCATTTGGGATGAGGAATGGAATTATATTTATTTTAATTTTCAAGAAACGCTCTGAAAAACTATTAAATAAACATTTGCATGGTTACTGGTTAGTTACAATAAGAATGAGCTTTCAGAGACAAATATATGGAATGTAATCAGTCTTTACACACCCTTACATTTATATATATTTACACACCCGTACATTTATATATATTTACACACCCGTACATTTATATATATTTACAGCATGAAAAGCTATGTCTGATAAAGTATGGAATAGATATCCATGTTTTTGCTTTTTAAAACTAATTATTCTCATTTGTGTTTTCTCTACATAAGTGATTTGCAACTTTTTGCCTCTGAAACAATGGAAGAATTAACAGAAATAAACACTTTTCAAGCTAGAAAACCGGCGTTATCTTCCACACAACATTGATCAGATTAATGTTGGAAACCCTTTTCCAAGATCACTTAAAATTTCAATTACATTCCCTTTAATAGATTTCATAAGACTTTTAATTTCAACAGAATTAAATTTTTTTTAAATGGTCTATAGATTAGGTTGCAGTTGTAATGTTTACCCCAACAAGGAAAATTATGACTAAAGGAAGTAATACTAAGAAAGCAATTTATTTTAAAAAATTTATAAGAGAAGAAAAAATTTAAACATCTAAGAATTGAGGTTGTGGTAATATATCATTCCCAAATTCTAAAAGATAAGTCAACTCATAACTTGAAGGAAACTTTTTTTATCTAAAAATGAAATTTGTTGAAACTCGTTCAAATTAAAACAAGTTGGAAAAAATAGAACCCTAATTATCACAACATATAGTGCGAAAATAGAACCATACTAATCACAACATATAGTGCGAAAATAGAACCATGCTAATCACAACATGTAGTGCGAAAATAGAACCATACTATTCACAACAGATAGTGCGAAAATAGAACCATGCTAATCACAACATGTAGTGCGAAAATAGAACCATACTATTCACAACATATAGTGCAAAAATAGAACCATGCTAATCACAACATATAGTGCGAAAATAGAACCATGCTAATCACAACAT